CTGGGTTGTTGCGCTGTGTAGTCTGGTCGATGTTAACCAATGTTTCAGAGGTCATACTGCCTCCGTCATCAGGGCGATGACGGAGGCAGTATGACCTCTGAAACATTGGTTAACATCGACCAGACTACACAGCGCAACAACCCAGAAGACAGAAATCTTTGCATTCAGTAATGCCGGTTTCAAGTATCCTGGCCTATGCCCATATAATACATCAAAGCAATCCATTTTTGAGGCTGGAACACCTACAAAATTGATTCTGTTGCAGGGCAATTAAGCCCGTTAGCTTTAACCACAGAAGCACATATTCTTCATATTCTAAAATCTAAAGTTTAGTCCTGTTTGAGATTCATTTTGGACCTGTGAACCTAATATCTGCCCTTCATTGCCACCAGCACTTTGGTAAACATAGACACGTCATCTGGAAAAACTCAACAGACAGCAAAATATTATTTCACATCTAAAAGAAAATCACAAGAATAATGAAAGGCTCCAAAGGGAGAGCCTCATGTAGGGAACTGTTTATGAAATGTAATATTCTTCCACTAGCCAGCAAATTCTTTCTCTCATTATTATAAATTGTAGTGGGCAACAGAAAACTTTCAAACAAACTCAGATATCCACAATTTAAGTACAAGATACAGATACAACTTCCATGTGCAAACACTAACCTCAGTAAGCATCTTGACATAAGTTCAATTCTATTTTATTATAATCTCTTGCCAGAAGTATGAACATGCTAAGGCCATCTACCTGAGCCAGGATAGTTCAGTCAGTATAGTGACTGGCTACGGACTGGACGATCAGGGTTTGAATCTTGAAGGGGCAGAGGATTTTTCCTCTAGCCTATGCGTACAGACTGGCTCTGGGGCCCACCCAGCCTCCCATCCAATGGGTACCAGGGTCCTTTCTCAGGGGTAAAGTGCAACCAGGGTGTGACAATAACCACTCACCCCCAACTACTCCCCCCCCCCCCCATTTAAATATGCATATACCCAGTTATAGTTTATATGAACCATTTCCAGCTTTGCTTTTTGTATGCAGGAATGGTCTTTCCTGGCAAGGAACGATGACTTACACAAGACTCTGCCCTTAATTAGTTTTTTGGTTGGTAGCCCCATTACACATTCACCTTGAAGATGGCAACTGCAGTGTTTGCCGAAATGGTGGTTAATAATGAACATTGGATGCGGCTCACACCCGACAGCCAAAGTTATACATTCAACTCCAGCAGCAAAAACCAAACGACTTTATATGACATTTCAATTAAAAACAATGTTATCATTTATCAGTCACTACCTTGCCTTGTTTTTCTGCTGGAGATGTAAACTGGGATGGAGAGTTGAAAAATCCACCTTGTTCACTGCCGTAACCTGTAAAAACATTTAATTATGCACACCAATTCCTGGTTGACATATTTTGTTACTTTACGTTGCTGTCAGTATGACAGAACACGGGGTCAATCCCATTCTCATATTCCAACCTACACACAATATAAATGTAGGATTTGAGGTTTTCACGGCGGTGAATCTGAAGATTGCTGTCTTCTGGGTTGTTGCTCCGTGTAGTCTGGTAGATGTCCACCAACATTTCAGAGGTCATGTTGCTTCTGTCATCAGGGCAATGACGGAGGCAGCATAACCTCTGAAACGTCGGACATGTACCAGACTAAACGGCGCAACAACCCGGAAAACAGCAATCTCCACACAATATATACATTGAACTTTCTTAAAACTTTGCATACCGTGTAGTGTATTAGAATATAAAATGAGCAAACAAACAATTATTAACACTATAAAAAAGGCACTATTGCCATACGCGTTTCAACCTAAAGGTATCAGGGAAATTAATTCATTCTTTTTTATAGTGTTAATAGTTGTTTGTTTGCTCATTTTATATTGAACTTTCTAATTAAAGACTCACTTTTCGAATCCCACATTTTATTTATTAATCTGATATTTCAGCTCTCATAAATAAATCACACCACAAACTACGCACAACACATAAGACGCGCGAAAACCATCACATAAACAACATACAAACATTATTTGAGATCAGAAATACTTCCCTAACATGTATACAATTCTCATGTAGGGGTTGGCGAAAGTAGCGTTGTGAGTGATTTCATAAATGATCGCTTCGAACCGAGTGTTTCAACACCACAGATATTATTACTTGGTTTCTACAAGCGCCCTCTCGTGACAAACTTCAATCCCACGTCACCAGCTGCTGTTTTACAGGAATTGTGATGAGAAAAACGAATTTGTGTGTAGTATAATCCTCTTGTAAAATTACGACAATAAGCTACCAACTATGGTAAGTATTGTACAGTTGTAGTTAAGTTCAGTTTATTATTTGGAACAAGTTTTAAAAGTTATAACAATCAAAGTTCTGTAACTTTGTTAAAGTGGATTTTGATTAACCCTAGCCTAAAAATTAAAGAAAGTGTATTTGTAGTGTTAGTTATATAAAAAACAAAGTTTTACCGTCTATAGTGCTATTAGATTCTTATAATTATTAAAGGTGCATAATTTTGCAACTACCCGTACTTGGTATTGTGAGTTTTTATGTTGCAGTTTTAGTAAGATTTACAGTTGTGTAAGAGACTTTATTTAACAACAGACACTGATACTATAATTTAACCATTTATTGAAAATTTGATTCATATTCTGTAATAATTTTTCATAATTTTGAAAAATACTTGTTGCTTTAATACTGGCCTGCCTTTCTAATGTGTTCAGATAATTTTATATCATAATCTCCATCCTACTTACAAGGTATTACATAGTAACAATATAATTTCTGCCATAATTTGACAGGGATTTTAACACATAAAACTGTAAGTTTTTAAAACATAGCTGTAGTCATTGCTTAAAATGTACTGTTTATAACATGGATGTCTTGTGTGTCAAAGTACAGGTGTATGAATGTACAAGTTGTGACAGTTATAGATAAGAATCCATTATACTATATTTTAATCAGTAATTATTAAAACTTGTGCCTGTATATCCTGAAGACAACATAATATGCATCGATACTGAAAGTAGATTTAAAATTACAGCTGTTATTATATTTTAATTTAGTGTTATGTGTTGTAATAATAAAATGCAAGTGGTGTTATGGTATCAGATAATAAATAATAGTTGAACACATCAGAATCCATATGTTTTTAATGTTCATAATAAGATTAACTGGAAAACCCCCAGAAATGATCAGAAGAATTAAAAATGAGAAGAATTAAAATAATAAGAAACTTATTAGCCAGTGTCATCCTAGATGTGGCATTTAAAAAAACATTACATCATTAGGAATTGAACTGCAGCTGTGCATTGTTATGTTACCTAATAAACATCATTTGTTTACTCGGCATTGTTGTGTTACATTACTGCCGTCAACAATCCGCTTTTGATATTGAGGAAAGAGCGGGGCTGTGAATCGGTTGTAGAAGAAGTGCGTCGTAGACTAGATAATTTTGTGATGGTAAAAACGTATTAGAATATCACAAGTACTTATCTTATATAAGAATTATTACATTATATTACATTTGATTTCATTATATTACATTTCATTACATTGAATTTCATCACATTACAGAGACGTATTTACGTCAGATTCTCCGGAACCGTGATTACACTGTCATTTTTTTCTCTAGCCACTAGGATACAACAGCTTTCTAAAACACCACATTATCAGATATTTTCTATAATATTTAAGGCCATGTAGATAGAAAACATGTTACCTGATTTTAATTGCCTTCACCCAGAACTAAAATTTACTCTAAAAACAATTGAATAAGTCAGTAAATTTCCTAACTATTACAAATTCTAATTGATATTTGGAGTTCAGTATTTACTGTAAGTGAACCACAATTGACCTGATTAGTGACAGTGATTCTTGCCATCCACCCCAACACAAAAGATGCATGAAAAAGTATTTTATTAATTGTATGAACACCTACCAATTGTTATGCCAAGGCAAGTAGAAATAACTTTAAACAATGAAAACATTTGTGTTAATAATAAATACCATACCTGCATTCTCACCATAAAACATTTTAAGAATCCAGTGTGCAACATACTAAACCAGATAAACAGAAATGGGCCATTTTCAACTACACAGGAAATGAAACCAGAACTATAATTAAGTTGTTTAAACATACAAACCTAAAAACCAGTTTCATAACCATGAATTCTATAAAACATAAAGTAAAACCTAAAATAGCAACAAATAACAAATATACCAACTAAAATGTCATACCTGCCAATTAAAATATGTAGGTCAGATAGGAAGATCTTTCAAAACCTGCTTTAAAGAACATATCCAAGATAAAAAACAATAACAAGAAGTCAATGTATGCCCTAACTAACTAACTAGATGGCTTACCGAACCCGAAGGTTCATCACCGAATTAACCAAAGCCCTCCACCAGACCCTGTCCTGGGCTAACAAAATCCAGTTTCCTTCAACTCCTATCTCCCATAGATCCCGCCTGAGATTATCCTCCCATCTACGTCTAGGTCTCCCCAGCGGTCTCTTCCCTTCAGGTTTCCCAACCAGTACCCGGTGCACACCTCTTGTCCCATCCATGCGCGCTACATGTCCCGCCCATCTCACTCTTCTCGACTTAATCACCCTCACAAGACTGGGGGAGCAGTACAGATTTTTAAGCTCGTCATTGTGCAGTTTTCTCCACGCCCCATCGTCTTCCCTCTTAGGCCCAAATATCCTCCTCAACACCCTATTTGCAAATACCTGCAATCTGTGTTCCTCCCTCTGAGTGAGAGACCATGCTTCACACCCATACAAAACAACAGGCAAGATTATTGTTTTGTATACTTTAATTTTCAGGTTCTTTGAAATCAGACGGGAAAACAAAATATTTTGAACTGAGAAGTAGCAAGCATTTCCAGAATTTAATCTCCTCCAAACTTCCTCATGAGTGTCATTTTGATTTGTTATTGTTGTTCCCAGATATTTGAACTTTGTAACCCTTTCAAAGGACTTATTAGCTACTCTAAGATAATTTTGCCCGCCTGTCTGCTGATGACGAGATACTAACATGTACTTAGTTTTTTCTGAATTTACTTCTAGCCCCACCTGTCTACTAGCCTCTAGTAAAACTTCTGCGTTCCTCTTTATTGTATTCATATCGTCTCCCAATAAATTAACCATTTTTAGACCGTTCTTGATGAAGAATGTCTCAGATACATATATACCTACTCGAATTTTGCTACAGGTTTCATTTAAGCACATTTTTATTAGACTCACTAGCTTCTTTGGTATACCAAATTCAATAAGAATATTATATAACAGTTCTCTCTTCTCAGAGTCATAGGCTTTTTTTAAATTATAAATAATTGATGTATGGTCCCACACACACACACACACAATTTTATTTTCCTTATACTTTGTCATCCTCAATAATAGATGGCTCCCACCCCCTTCCCTTCTCCATTACCATTATAAAGATTCCTTTAATGTCTTCATTGTTCAAACCCATGCACCATAGACTCTTCACTCCACTGAACATCTCTAACCACAGTACATACCATACCCGTTATTCCACTTAGCCTAGCCACATATTACCCCCACTTTGTTCTAATTGGTTAACATTCCTATATTAGGTAACACTTGTATCACATCTGGCCATTTCTTTTATATTCAGCCATAATCATAACAAAATTAAAAGATAGCATCAATAACTCCAGTCCTTACGATCTTACAACATAACTAACCTGCGTAACTCCACCACTGCAGTAGCATGAGAAGAACCAAGCTCGAACCCTACCATACTTATAATGTTATTCCCTTACCTGTTTCGTACTTCTGTATTTTGTTTTTGCTTAATAATAACCACTTTTAGCATCTTATCTCAGTTTGTAAGTATAGATTCATACACCCCAAACATCATGTAAATTGTATATTTTTAGCTTATTTTAGTGATGTTTATTGTATCTGTGCACCATAAGGTGGTGTATTGCTGAAACATGTAGTGCAAATATCTTACTACAGTAATTGAAATAAACAGTCAGATAGTTGTGTTGACAGCTTCTACAAAGCTTTAATGACTAATATGCACAGCATGATGCCACCTTTTAGGATTATTATTGCAAGTAATGCCCATAGCATTAACAGACGTGTGTGCATCAAACATAAACTTTTAAAAAGGAGTGCCAACATTTATTTTAACAAGACTTGCCTTGACCAACAATTGACCCAAAATTATACCCATATTAAATAAAGTGCACTTCATTTGCTGCTAAATGCACAGAAAAATAAGTTTAAAAAATAGATTTCTGTCTTCTGGGTTGTTGCGCTGTGTAGAATGGTCGATGTTAACCAACGTTTCAGAGGTCATACTGCCTCCGTCATCAGGGCGATGACTGCCTGTAACTGTTTATGAATACTTAGAACTTTTATGTGATAGTTATATTCATATAACCATATCTTAAATTTGTATTAATTTAAGTATTATATGTATCTAGTGAAATGCACAGGATGTCTGCCTATTCTAAGATTGAAATTAAATTATTTCATAGGAAAAGCAGTCTAAGTACAGTTTAATATCTTGTGGACTTGTAAGTGGATACCAACATTCCTGCAAAATATTTTAATCTGCCTACAAGTCCATGTGGCATTACTAACCAGAAGACCACAGTAACATCTGTAGCTTTACATCCTCCCTTGTCATCAATTGAAAATAACTGTGGACTCAGTAACTTGTTTCCAGTGTGTACTGAGTACTATGAATATCTGATCTAAAGAAATAATAGTAATATATTCTTAATTGCCATAACATAATGTTTGTATGTCTCAGTTGTTTTGTATATATGTTAATAGTGAGATTTCAGATGTTCAGTGGTGAGTTTGAAGATGGCTGTCTTCTGAGATGTGTTGCTGTGTAGTCATCGCCCCGATGATGGAGGCAGTAAACACCCCTGAAACATCAGTTAATTTCTATGGGACTGCATGGTGCAGTGTCCAAGAAGACAGTCATCTTCGGACTTAATGGTGATATGATATTAATGCTTCTTTGTGAACACCCATGAAGTAAATTACTGCTGGGATTTTTTTCAGGTTCTTATAGCAGCTGCTGTTTGTACAAAAGCTGGGAAAAGTAAGTGCTCCAATCATTTTGAGATTAAAATTATGTATTATCCATATGGCTATGAAAACATCCAATATGGAAAATAATCTTCTGTCATTCTTCATGTAAAATTAATCTTCCTTTCAGCAAAGAACTTTTTGTGCTCCTCACTTCTTTAATGCTGCATTTTTTCATTACTTTTGCTTATCAATTCAGTTACTTCCTATACTGCATATCTTTTATCTTATTCACAGCAATGTGTGTCATTCATATAACTGGTTAAATGCAATATTTTACTTTTTTCCTCTTTTATTTGTTTTTAAATTTGTATTCTTACATTTTTGGGCTTAAGATTACAATAATTTTTTATACACAGTTTATCGTCAGAGTAACATTAATTTTGTTGAAGTTGTATTGATTCTCATGTGTCATGTTCAATCACATTTCTGTATTATTTATTAGAATTTCTTGTCAGCTTTTTTTTTCTTGGAATATGAACCAGTAAGTGTAAATTGCTGTTAATATGTCACAACCTCTCTTCCGCACTTGAAATACCATGTATTGCATATTCTTATGCATATTACAGATCCTCACTGTGCCTTCTTGCAGGTACTTTTGAAACTACATATCTTACATACAGATGTGTCAGACATTCAGATTCTGTTACCAGATTTACCAACAGCTTAGGTTTTAGACTTGTTTCTATGTTGGATCCCACATAGTTTTCCTGAATTTCAGTATTCTGTCTAAAGTTAGAGAAATGTAACTTGTATAATTTAACAGTATTACTAAATCCAAAGAATTGTCACTACAACGTTGATATTGACTGTTGAAGCATGTGATTAATTATTATGGCTATTGAACATAAGTACTTTCAACAAGAAGTTATGGAGAATGGAATGGGAAATGGATGACATGATGAAGCTTGCTTTAATGTAGCTTCGGTTCCATATTGTGGATCTGTTTATTGAGACAACTTTACTATATTGACTGCTTGAAAATTATGTTAGGTTTAGATAGTAGTTAGAAGTTCTTATTTACATTTCATGGTTTGAGTATCAGGCAGCTGGCTCTTCTGATTGGGATACACAGATTTCCTTTGGCCCTCAAAGTAAAATCTTGCATAGTACCATATTCTGATTGTAGCAAAGGATTGAGACTATGTCTAAATGGAACTGCATCCACTGACATGTCCATTGTTGGCCCCCTGAATGATACATTACTAGATATGGAGCAGCAGTGGAATTATAGATGGGAAGACCAAAGAACTTACAGAAAAGCCTGTCCCACTGCCACTTTGTCCGCAACAAATCCCATATGGACTGACCTGGTTATAAACACGGGCCACTGCAGTGAGAATCTGGCGACTAGCCAACCTGAGCTATGACACAGCATGGTTAATACGTGAAAATATAGTTTGACTGCTTGCTCCAAGATCATAATTTCCTGCTTCTTTTGGTTCATTGACATAGTTTTTGTTAAGTAAACTGTGAGATAAGACATGTAAATGTAAGATTTGAGGTTTTCATAGTGGTGAGTCTGAAGATTGCTGTCTTCTGGGTTGCTGCGCTGTGTAGTCTTGTAGATGTCCACCAACGTTTCAGAGTTCATGATGCCTGCATCATCAAGGCGATGACTACACAGCGCAACAACCCAGAAGACAGCAATCCTCAAATAAAAGAATTTTTTATGGTAAGTCTCTTACATTTTGCTGGGGTTACACTCTAAGGCATTGGCTGTCTTATAAACCTTATACAGCACCTCAATAAGCAGAAGTTGGAGCATGACATACCAAAATTTTCAGTTCTCAGAAGAAACAATATAAATTTCATTTTTGTATCCTCAGACATGTATGTGTGAATTGTTTTTCATTATTCAGATTCCTGAAGAGATGTATAATTAGTTCAGGAAGTTTCCATTATGACCATATTTGTTTATGTTCTGCCACTGGTAATAAAATATAAATGACTTAACATGCTTGGTTGAATTTGTTCATTACTATCATAACAGAAGTCAGCCATTCATTTCTGTTCTGAGACACTTGAGTCCATTTCACATATTTCCAACCTTCTTATTCTATAATTTCCATTTTGCAACCTTTCTTGTAAATTCTTATATTAACTTTCCATCTTTGCCCAAAAGATAGCTTTGCATGGTGTTTCTTAACCAACATTTATTATGCATTTCTTGTTTTCACCTTGAGCTTCACATGTCCATCCTATCATAACTTTTTGTTTAGTTACACTAAAATACAAGGTGAAGAAGCCCACAAATTGTGAAAATCCTCATAATGTAATTTTCTTTATTTATGCTTAATCTCTTTTAGGTATAAATATTCTTCTTGGCACCCTATGCTTATACCTTCAATCTGTTATTCCTTCAGAAATAAAGACAAAATTTGACACCTATACAAAACAATGAATTTGATGTCTGTATTAAAACTTCTTGCAACATAACATGTATTTATATGGATTTCACCAGTTCTATGCCTCAGAAAATTATATGGCAACCTAAATTGTTTTCCAGCCATTGTTTCCCGCCAGTTTGTGGAGATGACAAAGGCTCGTATAGAGGGCCTGCTTTCTGCATTCCCTAAATTGATGTCAACGGGAAAGCAACATACATTTGTGGAAACTGAGTCAGTGCGGTATGTGTATCAGCCCCTCGAGAAACTTTATATGTTGCTCATAACAACAAAGGCCAGCAACATTCTAGAAGATTTGGAGACACTAAGACTCTTCTCCCGAGTGGTTAGTTGGCTGTTTAAGTATGATGATACTTTGTTCTAATAACAAAATTTTATTTCATTCCATGCATACCATAAAATGTAATTTTCATTAGTACAACTGTATATTTCAACTGTGTTTGTTACCTTCAGAATCATGAATTTTATATAATGTAGTTTCATCCAGAACTCCAGAAATATGGTTGATACTTTCCACAAGAGTGTTAAAAGATATGGCAGGTACATATTTAGCCTTGGTCAAAATGTATTAAAAATTTGTAAACAAGTGAATTTTGATCATGCGTGAAGTACATGAAGCAAATTAAAAAATGTTGCTCCTTCACCTTAAACTTAACATGTAACAAGCTTTTAAATATTTATTAATGTTTTTTATGAAGCATGCTGCGTTAATGGAACTAGTAGTTTTAAGTTATATCTCTGAAGCTTGGGTGAGGTCCAAGCATTGTCCTAAGAACTTTATCTTCAAATACCTTCAGTTCTTTTAGGCACTTATAGAATCCTGCAGAAAGCCTCTTAAAATTGCTCCAACCTTTGTATACTTGAAAAAAAAATTGTGAAAAGATAAACTAGTGTTAATTATATGATATTTGAGGTTTTTGCGATGGTGATGATTTTTTGGGTTCTGGCACCATGTGGACTGGTCAATAGATGCCATCATTTTGGCGAAGTGTACTGTGTCTGTCTTCAGGGTTGAAGTGATAATAACGGGAATCAGAGGGATTATGTAGAATGATAGGAAGGGGAATCTGAAGGAATGGGTCAATAAGGACAGTATAAGGTAGAGATTGAGTTGGGCCAATGGAGAGACATCAAACAGGCATCAGAGTAGGAAGGGCAGTTGGAGGGGGGAGGGTAGAAGAGAAGAAGTCAGCCCTTCCTAGGGCCACCACAGGATGGAGTTGATTCCTTGGTGAGAAACATTCTCCATTCCTTCAGGTTGTGAAAGAGAGGCTTCCACGTCTGACTCGGGGAGGAGCTGTCTTCCATGTTGTTGGGATGGAGCCAAATCTCTGTTGCTTCCTTTACGCTCTTGTTCATCTGTCATGACTTCTTGGCCAGAATACTGGCATTCTGCAGCTGTATCTGATGGCCCAGGTTGATGGTGTGTTCTGCCACTGCATACTTTTTGAGATGGTACAGATGGATATGTTAGTGATGCTCTGTGACCCTCGTCTCATTTGAATGTTCAGTGTGCACTTTCCCACACTTGCAGGGAATGCCATAAACACCTGGTGTGTTTAGGGCAAAATCATTCATAATGGGTTGAAGAAGGCTGGGGAGCTTCCTTGACGAGAGACTCATAGACCCACTATCTTGGTGTTGTGTTTAGATAGCACCCTGCTGATGCAGTTGAAAGTATTACCAACAGAGGGTAAGAACACCACTGAAGCAGGATTCTCACTGTGTTGTGGTGGGGCTCTCTTTGGTGGATTGAGAGCCTGGAGAATCTTCTGTGTACTGTAGCCATTATCCCAGAGAGTTTTGTGGTAGAATTTGAATTCCCGCAGAAAACTGTTAGAATCACAGATTACTTTGGCCCTGTGAACCAGGGTGGATAGTACAGCCTGTTTCTTTGCAGCTTGATGGTGAGAGGTGGTACTTAGATATAGGTAGCTTTGAGTCAAATTCCTGTATACTCTGTGTCTTAGGGAGCTGTGAAGTGTCCTATAAACATATACAGGGTGAGTCAGAAGTATGTTTACAAACTTCGTGTGCATGTTCCAGAATCAAAAATAAGAAAAAATGTTCCTATGAACATGGGATCGCTAATGTTTCATTTTTGAAATAGTAGCCAAAAACAATTTTCTGTGTATGCCTTTATTGCCAAGCATAAGGACAGGGATGTTTCTTTATAACAGTTGCTCAAAGGTTGTTCCTCCATTCTCCACACATGTACGAGCATGACGTACACAAGACTGACGAATTCGTTTGTACACACTAGGGTTTTCTTGAATCATCTGGAATGCATTCTGCACATGTTCCCATAGGTTGTCATCATTGTTTATGGGTGTTGCATAAACGATGGACTTCAAGTGACCCCACAGACAAAAGTCCAATGGAGTCAGGTCCAGTGACCTTGGTGGTCATGCTACTGGACCACCACACCCAATCCATCGCTGAGGGTACTGTTCATTGAGATGATATCTGACGCGATGGGAGAAGTGTTCTGGGGCTCTGTCGTGCACAAACCACATTTGTCTTCTTGTATTCAGTGGTATATATTCAAGGAGATGTGGCAAGTGTCTTCTTAAGAATCACCGATATGAAGGTCCTCTTAGACGCGATGAAAGCATGTGGACCAGTAAGCATGTCGCCAACAATTCCTGCCCAAATGTTAATTGAAAATCTTTGCTGGAAGCTGGATTCACTTTGATATAAAGTCAATTAATTGAAACTAATTTTGGGCTATTATTTCGAAAATGAAACATTTCTGATCCCATGTTCATAGGAACATTTTTTCTTATTTTTGATCCTGGAACACACACACAAAGTTTGTAAACATACTTCTGACTTATCCTGTGTATCCAGGAAGGTGATGTGGCCATCTCTCTGTGTCTATGGTAACTGTATGTTGGTGTGGATGCTGTTGTGGTGGAGGAGGAAGTCTGAGTTTTTCACGTCCATGGGGCCAGATCACGGTAGTGTCATCAACATATCTGAACTAGCGGAGCAGTTTGTCGTTGGCCCTTTTGAGTGCCCCTTCTTTGAAGAACTCCATGTGGAAATTGGCAATCACAGGAGACAGCCACTCCATTGGGCTGTTCAGAGAACTTTCTGTTTGAACAGAGAAACTATGACATCAGGACTGGTGAAAAAGTCTCATATTGTCTTCATCAAAGTGTCTGCTCAAGAGACTAAGAGTATCCTGGTGAAGAGCAAGTTGACATTGAAGCTGACCAAGATGTCCTCATGGCTGACACGGAGAGTGTAGAGCATCCAGATACTACTCTGGTGCCTGCTTGAAGTATCCCCATTAGCCCTGCTCAGTCTCTACCTCATTTCATCGTGATTGGCACATTCCTTCAGACTTCCCTTTCCTGCCACTCCATATAATCTCTCTGATTCCCAGTATTGTCACTTCAGCCCTGAATATGGAGGCAGAATGCTTTTCCAAAACATTGGCAACTATCAACAAGTCAACACAGTATCAGAACTTTGAAGAACATCATGATGTTAATTATGTTTGATGTTTGAGGTTATTATGAAAAATTGTTGAGCTGTTACAGTTTTAATTTAGACTGAATCAATTTAATGACCACTTTACATAAGAGCATAGATACTTTTTTGAGATTATTTCATTACCAAATAAATATATTTGTTGGTAACACCGCACGTAATTTAAACATTGGTATCTGAGAGACTCATTGCAGCATAAATAATTAAGAGTTTCTTATATTTAGACACATTCACAGCCCTGTGGGTGCCTCATAAAATTTCTCCTTATGTCTATTTGTATAGATTAAATAACTTGAGAATGGGTAAACTGATTTGAATGAAATATTGGAAAATTGTATGAAAAATTGTTGAGCTTTTTCAGTTTTAATTTATATCAGACAGTTTTAATGGCCACTTTAAATAAGAGGATAAATACATAATCTTGTCACAATAAGTCATTCGACATGAAAAACATTGCTTCATTAATTAAAGTAGATCACAACAGTAAACAGAGAAAAAAAGATAGTTTTGATTGACTTTAGACAGCATTGAAATCATATTTGTTTCATTCAGTTAATTTAGTGTTTTAGTAATATACAACTTTGGATGAGGCATATATTAACGTGTTTTACACACACACTTTCTTTTAGTGTGTGTAATAACAGTGAACAATGAGTCCTTAATATTGATTGTTTATTCATTCATTAAATTACTGCGACTTCCTACTGTGATTTTACTTTCATTGTAATTTGAAGAGCAAGGCTGTTAGCATGCTATGTATAATTCATTCTACTGAACATGCTTGTTAAATATACACTGTAATCTCCCTGAGAAAGGATTTTAATATAATTATAATCCTTGTTAATATTCTCTTATCCTGTTGTAGACCTGTACAATAAGACAATCTTTCTTTAGATTCCAGAATATTGTCGAAGCATGGAAGAGTCTGAAATAGCCGATAATGCTTTCAACTTGATATTCGCATTTGATGAAATTGTGGCTTTAGGATACCGAGAAAGTGTAAATCTGGCACAGATCAGGACATTTGTTGAAATGGATTCACATGAAGAGAAAGTTTATCAGGCAGTTAGACAGGTAAGTTAAAACTATATACTAATCGTAACAAATCTTACAGGAAAATAAATCTGGCATATTAATAATTTAAATATTACAGACTGACAGAACAGCTGCTTGCGTTGTGACATGCTGCATAGTTATATTGTTACATTCCATAGTGTTCCTTTAATATTTGTGATCTTTTGAACACTAAATTTTGCTTGTGTATCCATGAGGTGTGACAATTAAGTTCCCGGAATGCCTGCGTACGTGTCATTTCGAGTGGCAAGTGAGAAAATCCGAAGCAGTGATGTGTTGAGACATGTCTGTGGTTGTGTGTTGAGAAGCAAATAAGGTAGTAGTAGTAGTAGCAGCAAAGCAGTGGCAGAGTAACACAAGTGCGTGCTTCTGTCCCGGCAGAAAAATTAGTGATAGGTTGTTGAAGCAGCACATGCAAATCAAGTTTTGTGCGAAGTCAGGCAAAAGTGCTAGTGAAACTGCAAATGTTAACAGAGGCTTATGGTGCTGAAGCTATGGTGACTTAGTATGTCTTTGATTGGCATAAAAGGCTTGAAGAGGGTCAGGAAGATGTGAAAGACTGGACCGGTTATGTGAGGCTGTCAGAGAATACCTGAATGAACTTAGGCCATATGCTTAGATCTTACATCATGACAGTACCCCTGCTCATGACATGCTTAATGTCCAGGAGTTTTTGGCCAAAGAAATCTATATTGAAATTTGACCATCCACCATATTTGCTAGATTTGGCCCTGTGCAACTTTTGGCTATTCCCAAAACTGACGACTGCTTTGAAGAGCCACAGATTTTTAGACACTGGCAACATTAAAGGACATGCAATAACCATCCAGAAGAGGAGTTCCTGAAATGTTTTTTGCAGTGGAAACACTGACTCACCAAATATACTGGTGTGCAAGGAAACTTCTTTGAAGGTGACAGCAGTCATTAGTGTGTAAGTACGTAAATCCATCTTTTATGGGGGAATTCCTGGAACTTAATTGTCACACCTTGTATGTTCACTGGTAGACGAGTGGGTAGGGTAAGAGACTAGCATGGATGCAAAGGTTATGTGTGAATTTGAGTCATAGTGTTTGCATATGTTTTTTAATACACATTTATTCATAAAAATGCTATTTAAACTGTGGAAGTATATGTTTAAAAATTTCATGTGTAATTCATACCAAGAGTTGGAAGTCAGGTGTGATTCCTGAATGAGAATGGGTAATTATTATTGTCTGTAAAGCGTGCAGAATCCAATACGTTTTGTTAAAAAGTATTGTCATCAACATTATTAGTCTCTTTTGTGCATAATGCTCAAGGCAGGGTTTTTTATATATTTTTCCATGATTATTTATTCATTGGCATTCTAATTTAAGGGCTCTATGTTCAAATTGGACTGTACAGAAAACAGTTTTTATTTTCTGGAACATATATTTTACATTTTTATTTCTCAAATTATACCAGAGACTAACATAAAATGTGAGTTAATATGCTTTCCCTTGAAAGGGTTGTTTTCAAGACCTGGCATCATTAATATGTCCGTAATTTGCTGAACTTTAGCATTGGATCTCATTTATCATAGCATGAATTTGGAGATTAAACGTAACAATGACACGAAAAAACATTATCCCAAGCATGTGACACAAGGGTCCACAGAGTATTTGTATTTCTTGGAGGGAGCTTGGGACAGGTTGCCTGCATGGGGTTCATACCAGTCACTCATGGTGGGATACAGTGAGTTTGACATCAGCTTACCACAATAGAAATTTGGATTACTACTTTAGGAAAAGGCAGTCGCAGATGGCACCATAATGTGTTTTTATTAGGTGCTGCTTGGGCACTCTTCTGTTGAAAGAGAGTATTCCAGCCACTTTATGGGAGGTCAAGTTCAATAGTGAACATACACACAACCACTTTGTGTGGAAGCTGACATATTAGAGAGTTGTGATGCTGTCTGTGTGGGTTGTAAACTAAAACCAGTTTATAACTATGTTTCTACCCTGTAAAGTTGGTGTCAGCCTTAAGATTCTTTGCTCTGGTGAAAGGGTTTCTTGAGCTTTTGCTACTAATGCAACATCCTGAGCTGGAGTCATACCATAGCCAAATTCCTTGGCACCTTCCAACTTGCTCATCCCTCTGGCATTTCTGTAGCTGTATTCTTGCTATGGACCCTGTGACACTATACCATCCACTTGCAGTACTAGCACTTTACCCACCATCATCAACAAGAGTGATGACTTGCTCATGAGTACATCTATTGGGTGAGCCATATGATCAGCACTACTGCTTAATATTCAGGAGGATTTGGGTTCAGATTTCTCCTCAGTCTCTGAGAGGTACAGAGGATTTTATAATATGCCATAATAACTTCTAGTTCATTCACAAATCATCTTTCATTTGATGCTTCATAGTCTAGGTATTCTTAAATCAAGAATAAATCAAATTATAACATTTTTCAGACTCAAGAGAGGGAAGCTAAAAACAAGATGCGAGAAAAGGCAAAGGAGTTACAACGACAAAGGATGGAAGCAAACAAGAAAGGTGTTAAAAGTCCTGGATTTGGTGGTGGTGGCTTTGGTAGTAATACTGGCTATTCCCCAGCACCAGTTGTGGGAGACTCAGCTTCTCTTCAAGCTGATATTACCAAACCAAGCTTCACAGCCATACAGTAAGTACCGAGATACTCACAACAGTTGCCAACTGCAGAAATATTTTTTGTCTTTTTATCAGTTTGCTGTGATACCTTCATTGTAAAGTTCACAATGTGGATGGAGTGATCGGTGTTGAACTGTATACTGAATACATGCTCCTTCCTTTTAAAATCATGTTTGTTAATCTAAAGCTTATGACAGTGGGATGATGATATTCCTGATTTTTTGGATATTTTCCATTATCTTAAGTTTTTTAAATACAGTATTTCCTTGGATTGAAATTCTATATAATGGTCTCAACAGCATTGGATTCCTTGTTCTCCGTCTTTTTACCTGATATCGAGTTTGTGAAGTGGTTTTTTAAAGTAAGTAAAACGATGGACATTGTCCAAAACATTACCCATGCTGGTTGCTTTATTTAGATACATTAAGTGGTTGTAATTGAGTTTTTCCAGCAGTCATCTGAATATTACATTTCCTTCTTGAGAAATGATATGACCAGAAAACTGTCTGGTTAGCAGTACCTAATTTTCAAATTGTAAATAAAGTATTGAGAGCACTTGCTTTACCTACATATAACAGCATAGTATACACCATAATTATGAATGTTTAAAGAAGATTGATATAAGCTGAAATGCATTTCATAAAATGCAAGCAGGGTACAGCCTTTTGATCATAAAATAAATAAAATTGCAATGACATAGTTACACCTCTCACCAGCTGTGACTTTTCACACAAACATGTAATTTACTTTGAGAGACCTCTTATAGAATTTCCCCTTTCCCCCAAAATAAAATATCAACACGGAAAAAAAAGTGTCTTCAGAAGACATCCAAAAGGATATAAAACTGAATTTATAAGAAGCATTATATTTGGGAATCCACTTTAAGTGGAATACAGTAACAAGGTATTTACTGTTACCATTGTTATTTCAACAGGAGAGGATATTGTCGATGTATATCTTGTAGTGAGAGTGTTCAAGTGGGAATGGAAAATTGGGTCATATATTAGTAAATATATGTAAAAATGGAATAGGGGGTCTTAAAAAATCAGGTTGAAAATTTACAACAGTTTTGAGCAATAATGCAGGCTATAAACCCAGATTTAAACAAATGCAGATAATAAACATGGAGTAGCTAACACAAAGGACTAAATATATAATGGAAATGTAGAATATGTGTAATCATTTACATGTTAGATTATTCAGTTAATGTGAAATGTAAAGATAATCGTATTACTACATATTCTAAAGGTATAAAACATTGAGATGGTTTTATAGATAATTAGAACTGGTCAAGAAAGATGTATAAATGGATGTAATTCAGAAGGTGGATGTATAAGACCAGGGAGTTGATGCCCCACTGTCTGTAGTATTCATATATATACATACTAAATTCATTTATTCAAACCATCCCTGCTTAATAGTACTGTAAACTGTCCTGTTTTGCAATTTGCTTCCACCCAAATCAAAAGTAAAGTAAAAGTAAAGCTGTCCCACTATACGCCATGTAGGCGCTTGAAGGGAATGGAGGTATAGCTCCTACTCATTCTTGACCTCAGCACTAGATGGGGGTGAGTGGTCAGTGGTTTCTTACAATGATTTGGTCTTCCACCCAAATCATTGTAAGAAACTGTCCAACACAAGAAAAGCAGATGCCCTTGTGCACATTGGTGTTCTGTGATCTCTTTTCAGGAAGCCTGCTGGTACGACAAAAGCCATGAAGCTGGGAAGTAAATCCCGTGATGTAGAATCATTTGTGGATCAGTTGAAGTCAGAGGGTGAGAATGTTGTAGCACCAGCTGTGACTCGTGCAGTCCCAACACCCAGAATTCCTGTTGCTGCAAAGAGCACTGAAGAGTAAGTCAATATTTACATCATTGTAGATAATTGAAACATATTTGCGTGTACTGAAAACTTTTAATTTAGAAATATAATCCTAAAATTAAATTTTACAAAGTTTAATAAAATGATTCTTAACACTGAACTGAACTAAACTAAACTAAATGAACACTGATTAAGGTTCCTGAGTGAGAGAATAGAAACACAGCTGCAAATGTTATGTCATAAACTACCAATTTCTCTTAATTATTTGAATAACCCAAATTATGAAAATAGTCCTTAATCATGTAGTAATTTTGTTCACTTTATTATTTGTGCTGTGTTAATAAAAACAAGTTTATGGAAAATGTAATCTCAAACTACAGAATATGTCAAAATGTCCTAATACAAAAATATTACATATTTTCCTTGTTTGAATTACTAATATCGTAAGAAGTCAGATTAGAGTTGCAAATTAAAAGCTCTAAAATTTCCAGAGTTTGCATGACAAATAATATTTCTAATTGTTAGTGTGAATAAACAGCAAGGCTTTAGTTTTGTGATTTCCAGTTTTATGTTATTAATAAGTTGACATCAGATTTTACTAGTCTGATAAAAATTTAATGAAGAATAATGTTTGTTTTTCTTTGAATTTATATTTATGGTTGATTTCTGAATCCTTAATCTTGTATTCAGACTTTTATATGTCTGAAATGACAGTCTTCTGTGGTTGCACCATGTAGCCTTGTAGAAATTGACTGACATTTGAAAGGTACTTACTGGCCTCTACCTGATGATGACGATGATGATGTTGGAGACAGGCAATAAACACCTCTGAAACATTTATCAATTTATACAGGAATACGTGGCATAACGTGTCAGAAGACAGTCTCATCTTCGTGGTTGTATTAATTTATCTCTAAACCCAGCATTTTAAATTCTCAGGAACGATCATTGCGGGAAAATTGTGGGCCGGGACTACGATTTTTGAACGATCGATGCGATAAAACGATAGTTCGAGGAACGATAGAAGCGGGAAAATGTAACATTATTTTATATGGGATGTATTCGGGACCGAACAAAACGGACGATGCATCCGGGAAAACGATAGTTCCGGGAACGATGGATAGAGGTTTCACTGTAGACTGATAAAAATTTAATGAAGAATAATGTTTGTTTTTCTTTGAATTTATATTTATGGTTGATTTCTGAATCCTTAATCTTGTATTCAGACTTTTATATGTCTGAAATGACAGTCTTCTGTGGTTGCACCATGTAGCCTTGTAGAAATTGACTGACATTTGAAAGGTACTTACTGGCCTCTACCTGATGATGACGATGATGATGTTGGAGACAGGCAATAAACACCTCTGAAACATTTATCAATTTATACAGGAATACGTGGCATAACGTGTCAGAAGACAGTCTCATCTTCGTGGTTGCTACTGTGAGAACCTGAAATCTCACTGTGTGATGATCTATCTGTTCCTTGGCATATCCATATGCTGTTTTGTTGATATGGGGGGAGGGGGGAAACATGGTGATAGGCTAATGAGAGAAACAAAGCTTTGACTGTAATTACTCCATAAAACAATAGCTTCAGTTACCTTGGACCCAAAACTGAGACTTTGCTTGAAAGGATTCCATTAAGAAATATGTGAAGGCAGTCAGAGCAATGTAATATTACTGAAAGGACATTTTGAAAGTGATTTCCAGCAGTGTTTCCAGGCACGGCAGGCATGTTATAATGTATGTATGAAGTCGGAAGGCAAATACATTAAAGGTTAATGCATTGACTGAGGTTAGTGATGACAAATAACTTTTATGGAATCAATCTGGTTATTTTAACTTTTAATGGTATGAAATACATTTTGCATGATGGTAAACTTTTATGTGGAAGATAGGTTGAAATTAAAAAATAATCACAGATGTGATTTTGGTTTCTTAGAGTAGTCATTTTATTTGTAAATAAAACAACAATAATTGAAATGTGAAATCTGCACTGTAATCTTTTTCTGCCATGAAGAGTAACGGCAGGTGTCTTAATTTTTTGTGCTTATAATATTTACTAGGTAATGTACTTGATTTCAGTGTAACTGTTAGTTATGTAAAAAGTGAAGGAAGTAATTAGAAATAATTGGATGTATAAGAGGGAAGTGACTATCAAAATAATTTTGCTCAAATATGGAAATGGAAATGTTACACAAAGATAAACATCTGTAAAGTACCATTTAGACTCAGAGGTATTTGTTCCTTCTGTAATGTACTGCAAATTTAAGTGTTAGTTATGTCTGTCTTAGAATATGTATGATAAACTGCTCCTTTTTAATCCTTCCTATATAATCACTCATGAAAAAGAAATGGGTCTTCCCTGAAGTTTTCACTATACCAGTAATCAGTATTTCAGATATTTCGTCCTTTAACGTCATGAAACCTTCAAATAAAGAATTCAAGAGAGGAGTCTGAAAACAAGAAGAAAAGTTAGCCAACACAGTTTCATGTTTTCTTCTTAACCTTTAAACGACGGGGATTTAAATGGCAAAGTGGTAGCAGCCCTACAGAGTTTTTTGCAGGTTTTTAAACTTTTGTGCACGCTCTACAGAAAACTTTAATATTATCTAAAGTAGACAAAATAAAAACCATATTTATTCGAATAGAACAGAGAATACATAGAGTTGTTTAAAAATGCAGCTAATATCTTAATTGCCAAAATAGGCCTTAGTAACTTTACTTTCTTCTTTGGAAGCTCATTCAACATGGTAGAAGCCATGGTTGTGAACTAATGACCACACAGAAAAATTTGTTTCCACTACTTCAGTGGATACACATTCTTTTCACAGATCATGCCGAGGAATGTGAGTAGCTTTGAATAGGCGGTCTGAAAACTAAGCTGAAACTCACTTGACAATAACAATGTTTATTGCTGTTTATGGTTATAGTTCAGCTCAGGTTGAACTTGTCAGAACCCTAGAGAAAGTTATTCAATATTTGCAGCCCCTAAAAGACATGGCCAAGTCTACTTACAATGTTGTAAGATTTGAGTTCCGCACAAGGAACGTTCGTAGGGCTGAGTACACAACTTACGTCCCAGACAAGGAACGCTAGTAAGATAAAGGTTAAAGTTTACAAAAGCAGTGAAAGAAAAGAGGAGTCTGTTGAAAACAACCATTAAGGCTTTTTTTTTTTTAAGTTGATCTTGAGCTTGGTGCTTGCATTAAGAGTGGGGCGTGATGGAGGCCTTCAAAACTTTGAACTTCATGGAATAGTAACTCTGCACATTTCTGATGATAAGTTGGGTCGCATCCGAGTACAGCTTGAAAATAAAGATACACGAGGCATTCAGTTACAGGTATTTTATTTTAAGTCATTTTTAAATCCTCCTTCTTCATAATTTACACATTTCGTATTTTATTTTAAGTCATTTTTAAATCATCCTCCTTCATAATTTACACATTTCTTTGCACAGGAAAAACATGACATTGTTAACTGAATGATATCAGCTTTTTACTACAAAGTTAAACTTTTTGATTTCCTTTTATGAGACAGGATAACTTTACCTGACAAGTATTTTTCTGAATAAGGGAAGTTTTTGGTATGACTGTCAGACTTTGCAATGAAAGGGAGTATGGTTGGTCTTAAGACTATCATATCAGATGTTTTCTGATAGGGTTGACATGATGAAGGACAAAAAGTGAAAGAGTTGACAGCCAGATGACAGATGAAAAGAGTGTGTGTGTTGCAGGCAGAGTTTGAAAACCAACATCTGCGCACTGTAAACAACTTATGTCCATTTTTGGCAAAGTAAAATAATCCAGAATTTTTTTATGAACTACATCTGTTACTAGGCATTCTGCATTCCACACAATGTTGTGATTGGTTTAGGAAAAGGACCATTTTAATGGTGCTTGACAAGTGATGATTTCTGTTGTAAGAGTGCTTGTTATTAATTAAATCTTTTAAGTGAAACTTTATTTACTGAACACCTGCATGTGTACATGTGAGTAAAGGAACGAAGTTGTCTTTAAAATCAGTATGACTGCTATAAAAGTTACCATGATTATTTGTTACATGGCAAATTTGAATTACATTTACATTGCTGTAGGACATTACATGAAAACTGAATAATGTTTTGCTTTGTCAGCTAGGTTTGCTGTAGCATTTTACAAATCCTTCTCCATTTCCATTGGATTTTTGAATATAACAAATATACTACTTCTTTATTCGTCTGGTCTTTGTTAAGGCTCAGGAGACTTGCTTTGCATGTTTAGAACTGTAATGTTGATTACAGCTATTTTAACCACTCCTCTTGTTATATTGAATTAACTTGGGCTGTAATGTTTAGCATATGCATTATTGAGCTTATCAAAAGTTTTCTAACTTTCCACAACTTGTCATAACTTTTGTCTGTCTTATCAGGTTCATTTCTGTATCACTAAAATGCATAAATCTCAGTATATGAAAGAATCTGTCTCATTTCATTGTTTCCATAAAAGGGCATAAAGAACTGTTCCAGTGTGGACCATTATTATTTTGGGCCTGTCTCTTTGGTTATGACCCATCTGAATAATAATAGATAAGAACAAGTACATTTCTTGTATAGTCATGTCAAACAGTGAGAGTATCCTTCATCAAGTGTGTCTAAGAATTGATGACAGTATCTGTTTGTCTCTTCTACCAACAGTTGCATAATTTCTAGAAAAAAGAGCATTAAAATTCTCAGTGGTAACAAGTCTTTGTTTATGTGGGGGGCCTCATTTAGTCTCAACCCACTGGGCCTCTATAAACTTGTGTATCATAGATGCAGAACATCGAGATTGTATAATGTCAGTGAAGTCTATCCATCCTCTCGTCTTCTTTAGTGTGACTCGCTATGAGGAGAAATGTCATCTTCAGACATTTGAGCATCAGATTCTAAAATCAGTTCTTGTGCTATGTCTTCATCTTGAAGGCTCCTATTCAAAGCCATCTTGCACTTGGGAGGAGCAACAACTACCTGTGTTTTGGACTAAGGCACTTCAAACTAATTCACTTCATAGTTTATACTCTCGTGAAATGCCTGTGTCATTCACATAGAAAAAGTAAAAGAAAAATGATAATTGCTTGTATATTGATTGTTGTGCGTGAAAACTATTTGATGACACTTGGGTTTATTTTCAAGCAGCCACACAATTCTTTAAGCCTGGAAATTTCCTCTGTTCTTTAAATGATGTTCTCAGAACCAAACTGGTACAAACACGACTCTAAATCTGCATTGGTTAGGCCACTAAGCCACTTTTCCTCTGTGCATTACCTAACATATATCCACGCTGAAATCAACAAGAGCTGGTGAAATAAATGACTTACTGCACCGCCAAAGATATCTAACAATACAAACACCTATTACAAGACCTTGTCCAGTTGAGTATATACCACTGTAAGCAAACCTATGTTACTGTGACAGGAAAAATCATTCTGGAGCTTTGGTACAGTGTGTTTTAAAATTTTCTGCCATTTTCCAGCATTTCAAAGAAGAAACAGACAAAAAAGGATACGATTGAGAAAGGTATCTGAACCATGTTGTTAAGCTGATTTTGAAACTCTGGTATGGGGAAAATTGATTCATCCCTTTTCACCTACATTTTATTTGAAATTTTAGACTAAAAACTGCAGTGAATAGACTACAGTTTATTTCATGACTTTCTGCAACTTAAATCCTTAAAATGTCTAAATATTCCAGCTGCAAGACAAATACATGTTCACTTTTTACAGTTTTGTGTTTAGTAGGAGTTCTGTGTTTGATATTACGTAAAATATAAAACACTAAATATTTCTTAATTTTTCTATTGTGTAAAGTAATTTCTTCCTGTTTGTTTTTTTAACAGACACATCCAAATGTGGACAAGGAATTATTTAAGTCCAAGTCACAAGTTGGGTTGAAGAATCCTGCAAAACCATTTCCCCTTCATACTGATGTTGGTGTTCTTAAGTGGAGATTTCAAAGCCAGGATGAGAGTTGTATTCCTCTGTCAAGTAAGTTCTTGATTTATGAGAAATGTTGAGGATAAGACTGCATTTGGTACACAATATAAGGATGGTGAATGTTGTATTGGGCTCATGTTTGGAGTGCATAAAGCGTATGTTTCAGTTGTAAGGTGACTTGATTCTTAGAGGAACCAGAAGCATTAAAATTTTTAGATTTTTGCATATGCTGTATTTACATGTCAGTGCAGTTTCTGACATGTTTCTTTCATTACCACAAAGTGTTATTTTAACAAATTACATGTCAGTGCAGTTTCTGACATGTTATTTTAACAACTTTTTGAGTTTATTGGAGTTCAGTTCATTTCAGTGTATGGCTAATACTAATTTCTATTTTGAAACTAGCACTGGTATATTGTACAGTGTTTACATATCAGTTTTGTTTTCTAGTAAATTGCTGGCCCTCGGAGAATGGTCAAGGTGGCTGTGATGTCAACATAGAGTATGAACTCGAACATGACCAGATGGAACTCAATGATGTGTGCATCACCATCCCCCTCCCGTAAGTAAGATGCTGTACAACTGACATCCACTTTAAAATCTCCAGGCTGTAATTAAAAACAATCTGTCAACTTAATGTGTAGTTGCATTAAAATGTTTATAATATTTTTATGTAGTAAATAAAGTATATATTTTGGTTATACCAGATGTTGGATAAAATACATTAAGATTTTTCTAAGAGGACTTCTTAGTTAGCACAAATGGAAGTGCGGTATTTATTTTCTCTTTATTTACTTGCACTTTATCTTCTTCCTTTAGTCATTTTAACACTAGTTGATTCATTCTGTACAGGAGTCATCAGATTTCTGTGTTTGCCCGTTCTTTCATTTTGTTTAGCCTCCTCCAGTCTTTTCTCTGCACATATCTTATCTTCGATTATCCATCATATGCATTGTCTTCCCTCGGATTTTTGTCCATTTATTTATCTCCAGTAATCTTGCTGTTCTATGCTAATCCGTTATTTTAATATGTCCATACCATCTCAGTCTACTTCCCTCCAGCCTTAGTTCTGCCTTAATGTAGTTGTCATTCTTTTTCTGAATGGATGTATTTCTTATACCACTTTTCTTTAGTTTCCACATTATTTCCTCTCTCCTTTTTTTAAAATTGGTACAGTTTTTGATTTATTTGTACCAGTCCTGGTATTATGTGCTGTCCATATTTTCTTTTCAAGACCTGATATAACCATTGGTGTCCCAATTGGTCCCACTGCTTTAATTATGGTGACACGGTGGTCTAGCGGTTAGAACGCTGGCCTTGTAATCCTGGGGTCTCGAGTTCGATTCCCGGCGGTGCCCCAATTTATAACTTGTGTTGGGCAAGGCCGTGGTCTAGGCAACACGGAGTTTTCCTCCGTGGCATCCCAACAATTCCTCCATTCACACACAGAAGAAGGCAATGGCAAACCACTTCTGGATCATCTGCCAAGAACGTATATGCACAGGTCCCAGTCCGAGAAAAGGATGGAAGGATCCTGTTCATAATATATGGACCTGTCGTCAGACAGAACACTAAATAATAATAATATTTTATCAAATTCTGGCAATTTTTTGTTTTTCGTCTGTGTTACCGCTTTTTCCAAATCTGTCACATCCATATCAACTTTATGTGATGTAATATAATTTTATTGGATGCTGTTTTCTGTATGTTCTTTGCTTTATCTCAAATTTAATCATACATTTTAGCTATTTTATCTAATATTTTCCATTTATCCTTTTTTGCATTAGTTGTGTCATTAAATCCCTCCAGGCATTATTTTTCCACTTTACTGTTTCTTTTGTTTTCTCCACCATGGTGCTTCCATGTTTCCATGTTCTATTTTTTCAGCCACATACCTCTGTTGTTTTCACAAAGCCCACTCTATGTATTTCTAATTCTATATCCACTGATTGTACTTCATCTTTGGGTAATTTGGTCTTAATAAGTATGAATTTTTCTTTATCCTGGTTTATATATTTTTTTCGTTCTGTCCTTTATCCTTTTAAAGTTTGCAGTTAGGATTTTGTGATTTATTATAAACCTGTGCTTGGTATTACTTTGACATTTAGCATATACCAAAGATTTCTTGTCATTAGGAAATAATCAGTACATTTTTAAAACTTATTAGAAGTAGCTGTTTAACTCTGGTCAGTCTTTCATGGCGATGGCATTTAGAAAGCATAATTTTTAATACCCAGAAACCACGTACATTTTGTTTTTAAGTGATTTTTTTTTCGGAATTCAATATTTCTAATGAAATTAATTATGTATAGCCTTAAAATTGTGTTGTAATTATTAAACTGAAAAAATTTCTTTGTTGTTGCAGCATTGGTAGCTCTCCAATTGTGAATGAATGTGATGGTGACTATACACATGACCCTCGAAAGAACGTTCTCCTTTGGACGCTTCCAATTATTGATGCCAGCAATAAGTCTGGCTCCTTGGGGTTCAGTGCCACAGCACTGCCTGGTGACTTCTTCCCTCTTCAAATCAACTTTGTGTCAAACAAATCATATGCTGATTTGATGGTAAGATGGAGCTTCTTTGTATTCTTGTCTGTATACAGAATTATCTACTATGTATATTATCCATCCGCTTCTAGCAGTCTTGAACGCCTAATGAAGTACAATATTTTGCTTAGTGGGGCCTTGTGGTAGTCATTTGGTTTCATAAAGTGTGGTCACATGTGGAGAAATTTTACTTCTGTTACTGACCTATAGTTACATAGAACAGTGATATTCAACCTGGGGTACGCGAAGACATCCTGGGGGTACGTGAAATTTAAAAAAATATATATATTATTTTATGATAAACACTGAATAATCAGTAATGTAAATTATTTAATTTATTTTAGATGTAGATTATATACTATGTATAACTTGAATCATACACAAACAACTTTGGGGGTACAAAGTTGAAGAGAAATTATATCTGGGGGTACGCGAACAAAAAAGGTTGAATACCACTGACATAGAACATGAGGCAGTTTCTCGTTTGTTGTAGCAAATCATCAACTTGCGCTTTTTAAATAGATGTCCTTCTAAATGGCAGTCTCCTGTCTGTAATCCTGTTATTGTTTCAACTGGTTCCCGTGGTATGGATGTTATGCCATTTGGGACTACTCTGAAATCACTTGTTAATTTTGTATAATCGGTATTACCAACATGGCGGATGAACAGACTTTTGAGGTGGGATTGATACTAGCACCACTTGTAATAGGATTATGCAGTGATGTATGGTTATAGATTTTTTGAAAATACAAAACTTTGGTATAATATTTCTTTCTATATGTGAAATAACACGACAGCTGTATGGAAGAAAACAGTTTTTGACTTGACCAGTATTTGATCTTGTGACCGCACGCATATGAGTCCATTATGCTACCACAGAGATAAAGTGCCCTATGATGTGTCATTGATTTAAAGTACTTAAAGAAGACTTTTAAAACCACATGATTTTTATAGTTTGGAAATGAAGTTGTCCAATTAAGATAACTGACTCCATCGCTTATTAATAACTCTGAATTTTAAAAAAAATTCATGTGTATTCTGGTATGGAATGTACTTTTCCAGTCTTGTTTATGTTCTTAATTGCACATGCCTTGATAGCATATACTTGTGCTTGGAATACAGTACTGTGTTGTATAAGGCTGTAGCTAAGCCTCCCATATCATATACTTCTGCATCATTGTCTTGAACCTGTTTATATATAAGATTAGTTCTCCATTTCTATCTTGCCAAAACCAATTGTCTCATTCACTTCTCTTAGGAAATCTGACTCTGTATGTTTTGTTAAATGCATATATTGGTATAATTTTGTCGTGGTTGCATGCTGTTGCTACAGAGACAGATCTTCCATGGTTCATTACAATTGAGTCAATAAATTCCTGCCCAGGACTCAGTCTCTGTTTTCATGTGTAGGAGTGGGAGTCCTAGAAGCGCTTAGTTGCACCTGTAGGAGGTGTTATATCTCCAGTAGACAGGCCAGCCCTGCTTGTCTTGTATTTTACTCTAGACGACCACATCATGGTGCTATAGATGACTATGGATCTTCCTACCCAATTTTTTATGTATTGTAGCACCTTCGCTTTCAGTTCCAAAATTTTTTAAAGTGGCTCCACAAGTCCAAAATGCCCTGTTTGTAACTGTGTCTTCCATGTTCAGCTTTAGTCCAAGGTAAAGAACCTGTCTCCTAGGATGTTGTACAGTGTAGTCTGATAGAAGTCAGGTATTGTCTGGCATCAGTGCATCAGGATTTCTGTCTTCTGGGTTGTTGCGCTGCGTAGTTTGGTAGATGTTTACCAACGTTTCAGAGGTCATACTGCCTCCGTCATCAGGGCGATGCAGTATGAAGATTTCTGTCTTCTGGGTTGTTGCGCTGTGTAGTCTGGTCGATGTTTACCAACGTTTCAGAGGTCATACTGCCTCCGTCATCAGCGCGATGACGGAGGCAGTATGACCTTTGAAACGTTGGTTAACATCGACCAGACTATACAGTGCAACAACCCAGAAGACAGAAATCTTCATATTCACCGCTGTGAAAATCTCAAATCTTACAGTGCAACGCCTTGATAATGGAGGTGCTAAGCACCTCTGAAACATCAGTAAACTTCTACCAGGTACGTGACTAATCAGGGTTTTCCATTCATACATGTATCTTTAACATTACCGTCGTATTCTGTAAAAGGCAGGGGATTTAATGAGTGGCTGAGCAACTGTTCGATGTTGCAAAAATGTGTCTGTTAGTTTCGAATTGGCTGCCTGTCCAAATATATCAATGTGGGGGAATTGTAGAATCGATTTTTCATTAAATTTGATACTTGCTAGTTTCTTTAAAAGTTATTGACACATTCCAACTTTGCACGAAGACCTACATGCATTTCAGTGTGTGGAAACGACTGAGCGGGAAATTCTCAGCCAGCTGTGCATCTGCACGAGGAAATGATCCATCTTCCAGCTAGACAAGCACCAGATAACCCAGTTGCACAAAAGTCATCGATCCCAAAGTATTATGGCATCACTGGTGCCATTTCCAAAGACAGTTTGTCAAATTCTGGTGGCTGTCAGAATTGTTATGCTAACTTTCTTTGTGTATCCTGCAGGTGACTGAGGTGCTGCAGGTGGATGATGATTCACCAGTGAAATTCTCCATGGACACTGTCTTCTTCACTGAAAAATATGAAATTGTTTAACTAAGCACATAGCAAAGAAATCAGCTTTATGCAGTGTGTCCGTAAAATAATGGTGGGGTAACAGACAGTCATAGTTTTGGAACAAAGCATGATAGAGATATGAAATAAATGTCAAAATAAAGGGAAACTCTCCAAGAATCTTATCTGTTCAGTAGATTTCGATATGCACTCCCTTAGTTGCCCTGCAGACATCAAGACGATATTCAAGCTCTTGCCATACATGACCGAGAACATCTGGTGTGATAGATGAAACAGCTTCAGCCATCCGTTCTTTCAAATGGTCCAAATTTATTATTTGGACAGAGAACACTTGTTGCTTCACATAACCCTACAAATAAAAATCCATAGGGATAAGATCTGGAGAGCGTGGAGGCCAGGCTATCCACCCTCCTCGTCCGACCCATCGCTGAGGAAATGTTTGGTTTAGGTAATCCCGCACGAATGTGGCAAAATGTGGAGGAGCCCCATCTAACTGGAGAATGAAATTCTCCGGTATTTGGGGCACTACAATTCAGGCGTTACATAAAATTTATCCACAGGACAAAATTAAGTGTTCTCTGTCCAAATAATAAATTTGGACCATTTGAAAGAACGGATGGCTGAAGCTGTTTCATCTATCACACCAGATGTTCTCGGTCATGTATGGCAAGAGCTTGAATATCGTCTTGATGTCTGCAGGGCAACTAAAGGAGCGCATATCGAAATGTACTGAACAGATAAGATTCTTGGAGAGTTTCTCTTTATTTTGACGTTTATTTCATGTCTCTATCGTGCTTTGTTCCAAAACTATGACTGTTTGTTACCCCACCAATATTTTATAACAGGATGCTTCACATTGGAGGTGACTGACCATCAGCTACACATGAAGATAATCTAACAGCATTTCATGTAGTTATTTTCTAATCAGAGATTTTGGAAACAATGGATTCTGTCATTCTTCTTCAGTTAAACAACTGGTGTATTTAATTTCCATGTGCCATGATCATAGAATGTGTATGATCCTCCCTTGTTTCTCCGTTTTATGACTAAAGTTTAACCAAATTAATTTGCCTTTCTTGCTACAAATTTTACATTTTATGGTCAATGGAGGACTCGGTCTTTTATTGTGAGCATCATTATTTTGTTAGTAGCTGGCCATGAAAACAATTTATTATATTTGTATTCCATTATGATATAATAAATGCAGTATTTTTTCTCTCCCATATTTCTCACTTTAGAAGTTCTTCAACTGTTATTTTCTAAAATGCTCAGAAAATGTCTTAAAAAGAGACTGATATTATCTACATCTACGAAATAAAAGCAGCACAAAGACAATTAAGACTACTTGCATTTAGAACGTGCGTGCCTTGTTATCCAGATATGGGATTGCTTAGGTTCTTTATTTTAATGCATGAAGAAGATTTTCGTGGGTTGGTCCTAGTCTGATCATTAGTATGTTGTTTTAATAAATGTCGTAAAATAAGAAGGTGAAGATGCTATTCTGTAATCTTGTTTCTTGGTGTACAGTTGAAGATATTGAATATGTTTGTTGAGTTTGAATGCACCAATTACCTTCCATTCAGTTTAGCAGTTTTCGCATACACGAATCGTCTAACAAATTCTTGTACAAAAACCGGATAGTAAAACTTTTGCTGATGAGTGTTTTGCGTTGATAATACAGTACTTATGCATAACTGAAAATTATTTATATTACTGTGTTTTATAAGATATTAGAATATTTTCATGTGTGTAACGCAGATGGCAAATAATAAATATAAATTTCTGTAAAATAGAATGTCAATAAAGAATGTAAGCACAGTAATGAAGACTGAATTACACAGTCTGTAAGCATTTTGATAAGAAAGACCTACACAAAGTACACCTTTATATTTATATATATATGAAAACTTTTCATTTTAATAATATAAAATTTTATTTTTTCAACTAAGTGAAACATCATCTTGTATAATTAGTCCTTTGAAATTGTTACTTATCAGAATAATATTTAAAATTAAGCTCCTACGTCAAAGAAAAGACGACGCTGTTCCATTACAAAGACCAGTTGGTTAATGGCGTTGAAAGGAATAATCATTGTTTATTCTGAGAGTCTCAGTCAACGAACACTGCCAATATATGACATTGGTGGTGTAATGAAAGTTGCAAACCAAACAGGGTTATCTCCAGAAAACATGTCTAGATTCCGAGAATGTGGAACTAGCCTATTTGACAGACGTGTTTTCACACATTAATATTTTTATTTGACCTAAAACTCAATAAGGCATTTGTTATCCATCCACACCTGTCTGTCACATTTTTCCTAACAATTTGGCAACCCACATGCTTACTACAAAGGGGCAAATTGACCCTGCAGGATGTACTTGGAGCCCCCCCCCCCCCCAATCAGACTAAGGTTTTGCTCCACAGGGCTTGCTGCCCTTAGCTTTGCCCGCTTTAGGTCCTGCCTTAGCTGCATTGGAAAGCCGTGGGTTTGTACCATCTCAGTTATGCCACTTAGGCCTCAGGAGGACCAGCACTGCTGCCGGGTTTGGCCACCCACAGGGCTAGGCCACTTCTGGGGACTTGCCACTGGGAAAACGTTCTGCTTAGACAGGGTCTTCTGTTGGCCAGGTAACAAGATTGTCAGCTCACAGCTCTGAACATCCCGTAGTAATATCTAGAAGGAGGTGAGCGTAAACTCCAGAAACCTTGTCAAAAAATTAAGGCATAACTGTAACAACCACTGCATAGATGAAAGGGAAGGGTCCTAGGAAATTACTTTTCGAGAATAAGATATACGATTGGGAGGATAAGAAAGTGAAGTATAAATGGTTCTTCCCGATTCAGATAATAATCACGAGGTTCTGGAGGAAATGAAAGTTTTAAAGAATCAGAATGAGAATGTTTGGAAAGACGTTTTGTTCTTGTGCAGTGCTTTCAGAAGCAGTAGTAAGGTAAAATATTAGAACATGGTATTTATTTTGCAATACATCATAGAATTTAAGCCTTTGTAAGTATTTCAAGATATAGGAAAAGGATGAGTGAAATAAACCAATGTATTATGATCACACCTAGTCTTTGTTTTTTAATTCTATAGCAATATTTACTAAATAATTATTTTTGTATGATTTGGTGGAGAGAAACAACCCTTTGCTGCACTGTGAAGTGTCTGTATTTGCTTACCTTCTGAGTCAACAAAGTAAAGTTGCTGTAATAGATAATAAAACCAGCATGACCTTCCAGATTCTCATAACAAGTATCAAGATAACTGTCTTCTTGGATGTTGCATTGAGCAGTGTGGTAAAAATTTAACACTACTTACCCTGTCATCCAGATCCACAAACCAAGAATTACTGTCAGAAAGCTATTTTTTTCCTCGATAATTCAGTAAGCTATTAATATGCCTAATTTAAGACTGATCTCAGAAGGCACTATTGCCACGAAATGTAGCCCCAAGGAGAATATCGAGTTCTGGTACAAAACCTTGCCATACACAATTTTGAAAATTACATACTTGGTTTATAGTGCTTTGTTTACTTTATTTATGTGATTTCTTAAAGAACTTAAGAAACCCACGAAATTTGTTAATAGTGACAGCCTACAAGGAACTGAGCTAATCTGCTCAATGCATATTCTTTGTAACGGTTCTTAGTTATTTCTCAGCTTGTTACTCATAAATTCTTAATTAAATTTCACAAAGCAAATGAAAACCTTAAATGACGGTACCTTACGACTTTACGGGATTTTGTGTTCCACGACGAATTGGTTAAGGCATATGTTTTGTGGATTTTAGGTATTTTAAAACACGGTGAACCTACAGGCTATTTTGGGGCATCGCCGGTGTTGTTTGTAATGCACTCCATTCGTTACCGAGAAAACAATACTGCTTGTTAAGTTATTGTTCTGGTTGACAGTGTTTTGTTTAATTGATATCAACAAGCCAGCTTTTGTTACCACAGAAACGACTGAGCTGTGAGTTGCTTTTGGAAGAAGTGCCTTACAGTAAAGATACTTTTGTGATAGAAACATTTGCACAAACCTTAATTATTATTATTATTATTATTTATTCTATTGTCGGCGGAAATCAGGTTCTCTTCCTGTTGAACGAAGAGGTGAGTAAGGGCCCTTGTCCACGACAAGAATTTTCGCCGTCCGCCGTTCCGATAGATTTACCGGATTGGTAGTGATACATTGTTTCATATGAGAGTTTGTCCACGAGCCATCACGGCAAATTTACCGGCCGGATGCAGCTCCGGATTCCCACTGTAGAGACGGCAGCCCGACGGTGCCCCGTGTTCTCAGTGGGACATGCATCAACATGTGTACGTGTCCACGAGCCGGCGAGCTCGCCGTCAAGTCATCAGTTGGCCTTGAGAGAGCGTGCAAGTTTCATAGTCTGTAGTATTCTTTCTTTTCTTCGCAGTTCCGCATATTGGTGTCTTCATGTTTCAAATGGATGCATAAAATTGTCAGTAACTTGTCAAAAGTTTCTTTTTACATTCTAAAAAAATAACATGCTTTGCGTCGTACTGTCGTAGTTTTTCAAACAGCGTACTAAATGCGCCAAATTTAAATCGGTCTTGCAACACAGGATACCTTCTACGTCGTCGCTGTTTCTTTTTGTACAAATAATATAGTGCAATGAGGGTGCATACATCCGTATCCATTCTACCGCACCCGTGCACAGACTCAGCTCGACTCGAGTGAAACATTTTCCGCGCGCCTGCCATCTCCATTGACAAGGCCAGCCGGTTTTGTCTACCGGCCGGCGGAATTACCGTTCCGGCAGGAATTCTTATCGTGGACAAGAGCCCTAACGGCTTCCTATTTTTTAATGTCCTCTACACTCAAGTAATTTTTTTGATAATGTTTGTTGTTATTTTGCTATATTTATTATCCTGTTCTTCTCTTGTGCTGTATCTATAATTGGCCTTCTGGTTGTTGATGCAGCGCACTGATAATAAAGATTTGTGCCGCTTGGTCACTGGGATCGTGGGTTCGATTCCCACTCAAGGCATGTTTATTTGTCCGCGTTTTTTTGTGTTGTGCTGTCCTGTGTACAGGCCGATCCCTCGTCCAAGGAGTCCTACCGAATATCTATAGATCAAGCCAACGAAAAGTTGGGACCCGCAGTGATCAGGCACTTGAAGAACGGATCGTCCAAGTATCAAAGTAAAGTATTATCATCGCACACAACATTTACCCGTTTTAATTTATTTTTTCTGGGCACTTGTAAGAAAATTAAGCGTGTTCTCTTGCTAACACAATTTCAACTAATGTTAACTTGACTTCTGTTTGTTCACGGCATCGTTGATTGTAAAAGAACATTCCAGTAAAAAATTAAACATTCAGTGTTTTACAATAATAGGACATGTTTAGTAGCCTATAATCTTTATTAACATCTGTGGATATTAATAAATGAGATATGTATTGTGAAGAATAATTCTAACAGTTTATATTGCTTGTTACATCGACTTTGTTGAGGTATTTAATGAGTTGTGAGAAGTTTATTTTATTTTTATTTAGGATATATAAACCTATATCCACGTTTGTAGTAGAACAACGTACGGCTTTGTGTGACTTTTTACAAATGTAATACTCACGTCCAATAGAATTCAACTATTAATAATACATAGTAGGCAGTAAATGATCTTGTGCACTTATAATCCTATGGAAAGACAAGAATACAAAACTCGCTTGGTTATAGAAAATATAGATATTAACTAATTGACTGGATCTGCAACAAAGGTCACACAAATTCTGTGGCTTATCAGTCGTAAACTGTTTTGTAAATCAGTGCATCGGAATAGTGGCATCTGAATGTTTCTTACGGACGTTCATATGAAAGGAAAGCATCGTAGATTATTTAGACTTCCTGACTACATAATCTACATATAAGGTGATTTAACGCGACGTGGGTAGTGAGAAACGTGTGGCGTGACTTAATATTGCTTATATCAATCACATTTAGAGCTTCACCATTTAACGGTTACTATATTCCCACTGAATCTTGATAAGCATTTCTGTAAGAAACTAACAAACTGACACCACGGAGCAAAAACTCCTGCTTGATAATCTACTATTAACCTAGCTAATAAAATTTCTCGTCTTTTATGAAACCCGAAGTTTCATGCCCTTTGGATCATATCCTGAGGCAGATGATGTCTGTTCACACCTATTTCCCAAATTCCATAAGGTTCATTTTAATAGTGTCATCCCACCAATTTTTGGTCCCTCGTCGTTCAGGTTTTCCCATTAAAATGTTTCATTTATTGTCTCTCCTATATGTGCTACATGCCCCGCCCATCTCATCCTTCATTCGATCACCCTAATATTTATTATTTACCGAAGAGTATAAATTATAAAGATTCACAATTTGCCTTTTTCCATCCTCTCGCAGGATCAAATACATTTTTCAATACCGTGTTTTCAGACGCTCTCAGATGTTCAAGCACGCCAATATAAGAACTCGTTACAACAATGGACTGTTTTTCAGGAGATGGAGTTAAACCAACATAGTTGTTGTTCTCAGCATGGTCGATGGTGCATTTGCACCGAAGCATTGCTCGCTTTGAACGACTTAAGACAGAAAACCTTACTATGTGATGCAGTGTTGAGGTTAGAAGACGGTGGCGTTTTTCCTGTCCACAGAGTGATCCTGTCGGCGTGTAGTACATATTTCAGGTTTGTTTGCTTACTGATGTAGTTGTGAGGTTAGGGTATAATAGGACTTCACGGCATAGTTGATGTCAATTTGTATGTGAAACTTGACGTACATTTTGTTACAGAAAATTACATATTGTATATGGGTATTTACCTTTTGTAATTTGTTCGTGGTGGTGAGATTTCAGGTTTTCACGTCGCTGAGTATGAAGATGACTTTTCTGAGATGTTGAGGCGTATAGTGTCGAAGAAACTCACCGACATTTCACAAGAACTTAATGCCGGCGTTAATTGATAATTTCTCAAATCAGTGTATTTTAACGACTGCTTCGTGACGTTTTAGGTACCTTTTCACCACATTTGATACCAAGGAGCAGAATGAAATTCTCCTGCAAGGAATAAGCTCCTACATAATGACACAGATATTGGATTATGTTTATTTGAGGAAGATACACATCCACTGCGACAACGTGTGTCAGCTGCTTGTGACAGCTGATTACTTGTGCGTGCTAAGCGTCCTTGAGCTCTGCTGCGAGTTCCTCAAGCACAAGTTGGGCTTCGAGAATTGTATCGGCATCATGCTTTTCGCAAGGTAAGGTTCTTTTGTCGTTTGCTGGGACAGCCAAGTGCCGGGTCAGATATTAAGCCTCTAAATTTGGACGTCATATGATAATATCCTCCTTGGTCAGGGCTATTGGTACGTTTTTATTAATGTGTTTGTAATTGAAATATTCTGCACATGTTTTCATAATCTTTAAGACCAGCCAATTGTTAATTTCGTAAAGTAGACAGTCAATGACAACATATTTAAGGGTTATAATTATCTTTATCTTCTTCTCTAGTTCGTTTTTCCTTTCTCTGTGTTACTGGGTGCCTCTTATGCATTTCTCACGATATTAATATTAATATTCCTCCCTACATTTGCCTTCCTATATTAATTCAATCCAATTAACATACAGAATTAATGAAATTCCGCTTTGCTAATGTTAATGTCAGAATTCAAAATTCCGATCAAGTGCAGTAATACCCTGCTCAACTTTGCTCCTTACTCCATTTTTCATCTCCCTGCCTACAGTTTCGAACGCCTTACCTTCTCTTAAGAAGGACGAGCGGGCACTGCCTGGGAATCTTCATTGTCGAAATTTTACTCTTTTCCCCTGGTTAAATGCAACGTCTCCACTTTCTCTCTCTCTCATCCATTTATTCGGGCTTCAAAGGTTTGCTGTAAAAATTGGAGGCGAAATACTATGATGTGCAAATGCTTGAGAATTCAGTCGTAGCTGCAGTGTTTCGATGAGTTTTAGTTAGAGGGACCTCATGAGCCAGTTCATATATTCGCTGTCGTAGGTGTTACTTCTGCACCGACCTTGAGAATCATGCTCGTCGTTTCATTTTGCGCCACTTCGTGCAAGTGTCGCAGCAGAGCGAAGAACTGCTGGAACTGCCTGCAGAGGAGCTGCAAGCGATAATCGGGTCGGAAGACCTGAACGTGAAGAACGAAAAAGTTGTGTGGGAGTGCATTCTCCGGTGGATTAACCACGATCCGGACAACAGAAAAAGCCACTTCGTGGACCTTTTTATGAACGTCAGGATAGGACTACTAGAAACACGTTTCTTCCACGAAAAGGTCAATATGTTCCTGAAGACGTGGATGTTTATGTGCAGGGAAGCTCACAAGTCCAATTCCATTTTCAGACTAGTTCGTAACTATCGATAAAAACTTTAGCTATTTACTTTGTCATGTCTGTCCATCTGTCTGCATGTTCCAACTCCAGAACGTCTGAACAGATTTTCAATAAATTTTATATTGAAAAGCTTTGGTAGAATCTTTTGGCACATTGCAATTTTGGTTAAAATCTTACAGCAATAACGGGAAATTTATATAAGGACTTGAATGTGTTTTGCACGCAAAAGTTACTGGGTTTTGAAATCCCTAATTACTTTAGTTACAATGGTTAATTTAGTTACCTGGGAAATACCTATGTTTTAGTGTTTCCTGTTACGTTTTTGAATTGTTACGCACATATCATTGCTTATATATTTCGTTTATCTAGGTATGTGGTTGAAGATAAAAAACCAGCCTTTATTAAACGTAATGCCTAATTGTAAATTTTCTTTTGATATTTCCCAATTCTGACAGTGAATTAAAGTTACCAAATCAAAAGGAATGTAATGATTGTAGCATGTAGTTCGCATGGGAGAGACGAGATAAATACACATAACATATTTTGATGTAAAGCAAAATACAGTTGAAATACAGAGTGTCCCAGAAATGTGTATACATAGCAGCAACATTGGTGGCTGCTTGTCAGTCAGTTTCTCACCGCTGTGAACTATACCACGAAGATAATGGCGGTCATTTTGAACACCTACATTAGATTCGTTAAATCACTAAGTGCCAACGCTGACGTATGCAAATTTTTAATGTATGAAAATGCCATTGTTTAATTCATGAACATGTGTATACATATTTTTGGGATAAACTGTACTTCTCAATACAGTTCTCTAAGATCAATTTTAATTTTAGTTTCCCTTCTCACCATAACTTGAACAGTTGTAAGAGTGGTGTTACATAAACCACCAATAGTCGCTTTAAGTGAGAGTTCCCATGCAAAATTGTGTGTGCATTTCTTGTCTTCCTCTGCAATTAAACCTGTAATTATTAATAACGTCACTTCGTAAAAGTTTGTAAGGTTCACAATGAACTGTTAAGCAGGTAAGAAATCACCCTTATGTGAAAGAAAATATGGCGTGCAAACCCATGATCGTTGAGATGCTCACGTTTCTGTACGACGTGCAAACGATAACGAAGAAAGCAGAGAGAGTCCTGTTACCAAAGATTGCCTACCCGCGAATCCCACAGGATATTCTGTTTGCTATTGGTGGCTATCGTGACGGAATCCCGACAGATGTGATTGAAACGTACGACACACGAGCAGACCGATGGATTAACGTGAGTGGCACACCCCATGTTGAATAATGCCTTAAAACACTTTTTACTTATTTACAAGTAAATATATAAAATCATGCATACAAACAAGTAGTTATGCCATCTTTGCCTGTTTTGTGTGTTAATTTATTTCTATTGCAGTGAAACCTTTTTAAATAGAGATTACAAATAAATTAATGAAAACGAATAAATAAGTTAAATGAACGCTCCCCTCCATTTTTTTTGTAAGTATAAATTGTTATTTGAGTGCACGAAAGAAATAAAGTTTGCCGTAAACAGCGTTTAGCAACATGTCTGGTGATTTTAGATACGACACGAAATTATTTATCACCAGTGTGGCTTTCAACTTACGAAATCAAGTACTGATCACTGTCGATGTCGGCAATCTGGGTAATAACAACGTATGAGTTAGTTTCGGGGGACATACTGCCTCCCGCTTCGCGTCGTTAAAATCCACAACACCAACACCAGTCTTCACTGTCGTGAGAACCTCAAACGTCAGATATTGATAACATATGCTACATTCATTTGTTAGTATAGAAAGAATGGGATTATATATGGCCACAATCTGTCGTTCTTGTAGATGGAGGAGGTCGACCCATTCGGTCCGCGAGGCTACCATGGCACGGCAGTAATCGGTTTCAACATTTATGTCCTCGGTGGTTTCAACGACGTGGAATACTTGAACTCATGTCGCTGCTTCAACGCCGTTACGAAGACATGGAGCGAGGTGGCGCCTATGAACTCCTGCAGGTAAAACGCAACTCTCTCATTAATTAACTCCGTGGAGTACAGTCCTTCTAAGATGCTGATAGTCACTACATATATGTACAAGAGCTATAACTTGTACCATTTACGTATAGCAGCATCGTGTACAATGTGATTACGTAGGACACTTGCGATGGTGTTCGTTGAAACCCGAATAGAAGCCAAACATTAATTCCGTTCAAAGTTTCTCCAGGTTTTAAAAATGTGATTTGCTTGATAATTCATTTCAATTATTATCCAACAATGACAAATGAACAGTTGGTTTGCGGAAGGAAATGTATTTGTATCAGCAACAAATGACCATCAAAGCCAGTGGGGCATGAAACATAGTAAAGTCTGTACTTTTTCGTTTCAGATCTTACTTTTGTGTGGCAGTGCTGGGAGAAGTAGTTTACGCTATTGGCGGGCATAATGGCTTTCATCGATTCAAAACTGCAGAGCGGTATGACTACAACACGAACCAGTGGTCTTTGATCGCTCCCATGAGCACTGAGCGATCCGATGCAAGCGCTACTGAGCTGAATGGTAACGTAAATCCTGTGTAAATTAATGCAGGATGGCGAGGTGTCTGTCCGCATGTAACAACTTAATAACTGTTGAGCATTTTGCAGGATTTGAGGTTCTCAGGGCAGCGAGTATGAAAATGATCGTCTCTATTTTAAATGTTTATCAGTTTGTTTTAATTCATTAGATTCGTTTCCTTTGACACGGACACAAACACAGAGAGAAAGAGAGAGAGAGATATATAACCGTGTCCGTACAGTTGCTGATACAAAGGAGAAGGACACTAAATGCTGTATCCTTCTTAAATTTCCAGGTGTAACTACAAAATTTTCCCAGAGCTGTACTGTGTACAGACCGGTGACCTATCTCAGATATATCCAGTTTTTGCCAAACAGTTTATTCTTTCTCGCAGGTAAAATATACGTCGTTGGTGGGTTTAATGGTTGGAATTATATGAACTCAGCAGAAGTGTATGGCCCAGAGACCAACCAGTGGACATTGATTTCACCGATGCTTTCTCAGCGAACCGGCGTTGCTTGCACTGCCCTCCACGGCTGTGTTTATGCCATAGGTAACAATTTGCGATATCTTTCTCACGCAATTTTATTTTGTGTAATATTTTCCTAGTTTTTTTTTTACAGCGCTTGTGATTTTGTGAGCGGTATCTTTATCGTGTTATTACGTAACTAGTTTGTCAGTATTTTTAACCTCTTGTGTGATTTATGGGTTTGATTACATTCTCCACAAAGACAACTAACAACAACACTAATAGTTTATTGTAAATCTAGTACAATATTTTCAATAGTCACAGAATCCGAAGTTTAAAGGTAAATATTTTGATAGTATGATAGGTAAATTTCAATTTACCCGTGCACAGTGGCAACACAAGACTCCTGCTACGCCACGTTGTGTTGGGACAATCAATGGCGTCACTCTGCGCAGTTTCTAGGTTAGGTTACGTTATGATTACGTCAGGGTTCGGGACTCTTTGTATGCTCCATCATAGCCATTTCACCCATAATTTCGTTTCTGGTACTGATATTAACACTGCAAGGGAGAATAAATTTGTCTTCTCTTATTGATAGAGATTAAAACACGTTTTATTTAATTAGTTTCTTAAGTGTACGGAGTTATAAATTATGATGAGACACACGGAGTCTGGATCACGCATGGAAGAGAGGAGAAGTGCTTGCTTGTACAAAGTTGTAATTGGAAAACCTGAAGGAAGCTGATCACTTGTAAATGGGAGGATAATATTAAAAGTGGTTTTAAAGAAACAGATTATGCGGGAAGGGTCCAATCATGGACTTTTGGGAACACGGTAATGGACCTTCTAGTTCCATAAAGGCCAGAAATTTTCCTGACCAGGTGAGCGAAAAGTATATTTTTGAGAAGGGTCCTGGCGTATCGAATTATAAGTTCCGTTCTGTAACCCATTTGTTATTTAGTTATTTATTTAGTGTTCGGTCTGACGACAGGTCCATATGAACAGGATCCTTCCATCCTTTTTTCGGACTGGGACCTGTTCATATACGTTCTTGGCAGATGATCCAGAAGTGGTTTGCCATTGCCTTCTTCTGTGTGTGAATGGAGTAATTGTTGGGATGCCACGGAGAAACCGGGGAAGCCCCCGGAGGAAATCTCCGTGTTGCCTAGACCACGGCCTTGCCCAACACAAGTTATAAATTCGGGCACCGCCGGGAAACGAACCCGAGAGCCCAGGATTACAAGGCTAGCGTTCTAACCGCTAGACCACCGTGGCTATGTTATTTAGTTAACCTAATACAAGTTACATGTATATGCAGGAGGATTTAACGGGATATCACGCGTTTGCAGTGGTGAGAAGTATAACCCTGCAACAAACACGTGGACCCAGATCCCTGAAATGTACGAACCACGCAGCAACTTCGCCATTGAAGTGATGGACGACATGATCTTCGCCATTGGTGGATTCGGTAACGTGGATGCCACCTACTGCGTCGAATGTTACGACGAAATAACAAATACATGGTTCGTTTATTTCTTAGTTCAGGATTGTATCGTCACTTCTGAAACATTAATAAGTAAACAGTTTTTGTCAAGATGACCACACCATCTTATGGAGTGTTGTGACTTGTAGTCTCGTAGAAATTGACCGATGTTTCGGAGGTGTTTACTGCTAACATCATCAGTGCGATGAATGAAAAATGGATGAGAGGAGGGGGTTTTGAATAAGAGCTGGCAGGGAAATTTTTGGCTCAAAGTGAATCTTTAAATCACATCAGCAAATGAATAGAAGATGATAATCAGACCTAAATGTTAATTTTATTAATAAGAAGACCTTGGACTAAGTTTTATAGGGATATTCTCAGCACCACCATAATCATCGCGTTTTATCGCAGTGTTAGGCGAGTTTGAGTCTCAGATTTAACGACGTTTATCCGTCTCATGTTCGTTTTTTTTAATGGAACGTTATTTTGAAATAGCTGTCTCCTGGGGTGTCGAGCTGTGGAGTCTTGTGCCATCTGATGATTGAGACGTTGGCCAATTTCTATCAAAATACGTGACGAAACATTACGTAAGACAAACGCCTTCTTACTCGTCTACGGTAGAACTAGGAACCTTTTTTTTCGGTTCTCATTGTCCGAAACGGAACACGTCTGGCTCCAGCAGAATGTGTTCGATTAAAGTATTAATCTGACGAAGGTTTAACGGCTTGTTAAAGTATATCGTACGTAGCTAGGCCAGAATATTGTACACGTGGCAATATTTTAAAATTTGATGCCATATTACGTACAAACCATTCCGTTAGCTGGTTTTATCTCACAAACAAATTAAATGGTTTGTGTGAAATATGGTAACGGGAAGTGTGCACTGAATTTTTATTGGAGGTTGTCTGGAAACAAGATATAAATGATGACGTTTCGGTGGCAGGCTTTACCTTCCACTTAATTTCATTTTTGCTTCTACAGGAAGACAGAGCCAGTTCAGTAAACGTCGAATATATTTTAGATCAACACAGTTTACGTCTACTAAAGATAATTCGTTTATAATTATTCTTCGTCACTGTCAGACATCTTAGAACCACAAAAAATATATTTTTGAAAAAAACAAAAAATAAATTCTTTACACACTCGTTTAAAATTGCTTTTTAAGTTAAAAAAAATTAAATACTTATCTTGATAAGTTTCTTTACGTCATGTAGAACCTACATATTTTCCGTAGTTCTGTCTGTGATATGTGATGAAATTGGTTTGAGCGTAGATATCACCAATGGATGGTGTAAAAATACTGTTTTAACTTTTAATATTTCACACATTGCAGGTACGAGGCGACACACATGAATATTTATAGATCAGCGTTGTCGGCCTGCATAGTCAAGGACCTACCGAATGCAAGGGATTACGTTTATAAGCACAGGGAAAGATTACTGGAAGATTTACGTCAAAATAAGTTGGCCATGGAAATTCATGGAGACCTGGAATACGAAGCCCTCGGCGACAACATCAATTTTGATTTCGATTTTTAAGAAAACGACGATGACTGGGACTTGGTGTAACGTCCGCGATGAGAAAACAGGATGGGACAAAAATAAATATAAATATTGTTTGCATCAGGAAAGGAAACATTATTTCTCCTCAGCATTTTATGTTAAATTTCGTTAAACACTGGAATTTTGATATATACATATACAGTATTAAATATAACAGCCAAATATAGGCAAGCCCAAAATAGAAGCACTATTAACACAAAGCAAAATAAATTAAGAAATATAAATAAAAACAAATAATCCACCTAAGGAACACTAACTAAGATAACTAAGCTAGATCATCTATCAAGACAACCTATCTAGATCATTTCACTTATTGAGAACGTGCCCTCAAGGGAGACAATGTTTATGCTAAATACGTCCAAGGATTTACATAATAATTGTATTCGAAAGACGCTGTCATAAAATAAAATTGTATCATATATGTAGCACGTGCTTAAAACAATATGTATCCCGGAAATAGCTGCTGCCCTATGTACCTTAGGGACATGGAAGTACATGCTCTGTAAAGTGGTGAACAGATGGAATAATAATAAATAACATTTTTTTATAATTTTCAGAACATGGTGTACCTGTATAATTTTACATTTAATTTTATTTAGGAACTAAAGTGACACCATAGGCGTGGCAAAACATTTTATATATTATCATGCTAATTGTAGATGTTTGAATATTTTTTGTACAATTTTACGTAGAATAACTAACTATACTTCATTGTAATAAATGAACCTGATTTATTAACACTTTCTCGACGAAACTGAGAAGGATATCAGGAGAGTAGAAACAAAGAGAAAATTGTGGGGTGAAGTGGAAGACACTTTGTTTCTGGGGGACGAAAGAACATTTTTTTGTCAGAGGGTTCCCAGGCAATGCCCATTCATTCTTCTGATCAGGGTAGAATGAAGATGAAGATGTTGGGGTGGTAAGTAGTCAAAGCTTGGCGTTAAAGCAGTGGAATTTTGATGTATTTATTTATGGATGCTGAAATTATAATTTGGAAAGATAAATAAGTAATGTACAATCATCATCAAATTGCGCAGTTTATTATTCTTCATTCATGAAGGTCGTTGTGCAATACACATTGCGTGACGTCATACGCCATGTGCGTTGCCAACGTTCAATATTGAGTTGCCCATCACTTGGTTGGTATCGTTTGTTGACTATTGCGAACATGAAACACATTAAAAATTAGGTGACCAAGAAGTAAACCTGTGATGGATGCTTGAAAATGTTTGTGTGTGAATAATGATTTCCGTCATTTGATGGGAAATTACATTTTTCGATTTACAGAATGTTACCCAAAACATCGCAATAACCATTCATTGTGGTTGGAGCTACCTTGTGACAGTCGTTTCCTCCTCCACCTTTATGCACGTAGGAGGGTTGGGTCTGTGAAGTGAGGCTGGACTATCGTATTAATTAAAACTTCCAAGCATTGTTTAGAGGTAAGGTACGTGTATTAGTTGTAATGTAAGGTAGGTACAGAGTTGATGTTATTAAAAGACAATGTTTTGTAAGGAAAAAAATCCATGTTTTACTAAAAGTTTTCCGACGGAATTTTTTTGTAATGGAACAACTCTAAAACGGTTTTGGTTTTAACATAATAGTTCGGGTAAGCGTCTATGTATTTGATATTATAAGATGAAATAAGAGGCTTATGTGATACATACACGAAGACAGAAAGTTAATTTTTTAAACATCGCATTCCTAGAAGTCAATTATATATGATGACCAGCATTTTGTGTGTTTATTGCATCATAGATTTTAATTATTTTTATATCAAAGCCTACCATCTGCCATTAAGAGTTTGAACATTTTAAAAATACTTGAAGTATATCTCAGTCCTTTTACTCTGCTTATGGATAATTTACTTAAATTGGAAATTCATCAACATTGTACATATTCATGAAAATTGTATTTCTGTTATAATGTAAAATAATGTCTGTAAAACCCGCTGTGTGTATTTATTTATATTTGTAAATTGTGCGTTACATATTCTGCACCATTGCCTTAAATGTATGAAGGATCTGTGGGATGTAAATAAATTATAAAATAAATTCCTTATGTATGGTTCTTTCTTAAGGGGAAAGAGAGTATTTGTGGTATATATGTATTCGATAGGAGTGTTGTGAGCTTAGCTGACAAACAGAACATGGTTGAGTAAAACCAACCTCTGCCATTCATGCAATAGTTTACACAATATGAAATATGAAGATGTCTGCTGTATTTTTAGAAATCATTATTCAGCATTATTTATCTAACTGCTGTCCACTTACCAAGAGAAGTATGCTGGGAAGTGATAATGTGGGGTGATCTTACTGCTGATGTGCACTCCACCTATTCCTGTTCCAAACACATATTCTAGTAGTGCAATGCTTTGTGTATATGAATAGTGTTGCAAGGGTAAATGCATGTTTTATGAATTAGAATTTATTAACATTTCATAGAACCTTCATAGTAATAGCTTAGACATACAAACCAAGATATAGAAAACCAGTAATGGTTGTTCATTTTACCTTACAGTGTATTTTATGGATGTGCAAACTACAGCCTCTGTTGTGATGTGTTGTTACATCCTGAAAATCTCTAACCATTCTCCTTTAAATTGGAGTGATTTTTCAGAATATGTGCATTTGACACAGCTTTGACATACAATTAAAGGTTTATGGGGAAGAAGGATTAGACTTTTGGCTTTGAATAAAACATTCATCAGTCTCTAAAAATAAAAAAATGTGGATAGAACTTGAAAATGTCTTTTATAAGATGGAATTGCAGATTAAGAACAATACAATACTGGTACTACTACTAAATAGACTTGTGGGTTGTGTGACTAGCTTCACAATTTGTCTTTGGGTTATGATACTTTGTAGTCTTGTAGGTATTTACCAGTGTGTTGGAGAAACATATCACCTGTATTTTCTGAATCTTTGTATATCTTTTGGGTCGTGCTGGCAAGTTAGTGGTGTAGATAGAATCATTCCCCTTTTATGCTTAAAGTAACACTTTGGTTGAAACACCAGCCCAAGTATTGGGTGATTGTGTGATACATTTGTCAATTAAATATTAAAATCATTTTGGATTATCAGTGTTCTATATTATTCATGCATCCCCTTCATTTCACTTGCTTGAATAATTGAGAGTACACTGCAGTTTAAGTGTTGTGAACAATCATATTTTCAGAATTGTCGGGAATGGCTAGCCAAGGTGATAAAGTGGATATCATAGTATTTGGTGCAACAGGCTTCACAGGGAAGGTTGCTGTGTATAAGATACTGAATCTAGCCAAGGAGAAAGGTATCACGTGGGGTATTTCTGGAAGGAATAAAGATAAGTTGAATGATGTGCTGAAGGAGGTTGCAGAGAAAACAGGTAACTTCATGTCACTCTCCCATGTTATAATATAAACTTTGGTGTACATAACGTATATATGCTAACATGGAACCTGGTGAATTTACAGGTGAAGACCTTGCTGCAGTCAAAGTTGTGGAGGCAGATGTGAAAGATGCATCATCCCTTCAGCAGATGGCATCACAAGCTCGTGTTTTGGTTAATTGTGTTGGACCATACAGATTCTATGGAGAGGCTGTCGTCAGTGCTTGTATAGCTAGTGGAACTCACCATGTGGATGTGAGTGGTGAACCTCAGGTAAGTTGGGTGTTAGTGGCTGTTAAAACGCTGCTGTATGTACATTTTAATTTGTCTCCATCCCAAATGTTGTTTTAACAGTTTGTGAGTTATTGGAACTTGATCAAGAATATTTCTTTTATGTCTTCCTGTTTCAGTCTTGGTGGGGGGAGGGGGGTCCTGCTTTACATATGCTTCTTAGTTAATGCAACCTGAACCGTATAGCAATATTATCCTTGCCATTTGACAGTCACATCACTCTTCAGTACATGCTTCACAATTTTGTGTCTGCCAGTTCTGAGTTTGTTTCCAGACAGGTGACCCTGAGATGAACCTAAGCTGGACATTTCATATGTGTTCTGGTTTATATGCAAAGGAAGGATCAGGTTTTGTCATAATCATCACCTTTCTTAACCAAAATTTGTAATCATGTTATGTCTGTTGGAGATGAGATGTCAGCAGATGTCTCACATGAGACTCGAAAGGAACCTTGTGTGTACTTCAGTCAATAAAATTTTAAGCAAATATCTGCCATTACCATGGTCACATTTTACTGTAACCATATGCCAAATTTTGGTTACAGGAAATGTGGTCATGTCACGGCCAACCAATGAGTTTAAAGCTATTTCACAGCAGAAAATTGACATCACTCAAATGACAGTTGCATCTGCCAATGGGAAGGTTGCTCCAAATTTAACATTTTGAACCATACTACCATCAAAACCTAGTGGACAATTACGTGCTGGGCTGAACACACTTCGGAAAGTGTGGATGTGTTTATCTGCAGCTCCCAGTTGAAATTCCTTTGTTAAATTGCATATAAGCATGACTTAATTAACCAAGTGCTAACCCCACTACATACCAGAAAGGGGCTTACTATGCAGGGATTTTCTTCTAGATAGCATGAGAATTTTAAATCAGGATACAGAAATGTGTAAACCAGCACTGAAAAATTATCTTTTATCTTCTACTCTGTGGAAGAATTTACTTAAGTTGAAAATATTTAATACTGTAAATATTTATGAATACAGCTTTACTTTGAACTCTATAGTTCCACATCCTTGGTTTGTACTATGAAGGGTCTGTGGAATGTAAATAAATTCTGTTCTAATTCCTGTGTATGATCATTCAACGTAACTATGTGATACTATTGCATTCGTGTGATTGTTACAGTACATGGAGAAGATACAGTTGGAATATCACAAGGCAGCTGAGGAGAAGGGAGTGTATATTGTAAGTGCCTGTGGGTTTGACAGTATTCCAGCTGATCTTGGGACAGTATTTTTGATGAACAAATTTCAAGGTTTGTTTTTGAAGGATGTCTTATAATTAGTATTTGTGTTCACATCTGGGTTTAATTGTCAATAATTTTAATTCACCTCCTAACATGTTCACTCCTAGTATTACATGGCAAAGAAGTGAATGGCATTCAATTGACTTGGGCGAATCCCAAAAGGAACTGTGTTCCATCTAGTGGCAGGTGATAGAACTATGTGCTTTGAACTGCACTCTTGTTTTTTCTCTCTCTCTCTCCTTCATGTTGTGTTGCTATCTGACCATTTTTAGATGTAATCTGGACAAAGCACTGGTAAACAACTAATTTTGGGTCCAGGAGTGAACATGGAAAAAAAAACCATGATGTTACTGTATTGGTTTGCATTTGTAAAGTTTTCTTTTGGAGAATTTATGCCTGTGGTGATTCTTCTGAGCATTATATACAGTGTGAGCACAAATGATGCAGGCATTTTAAGATATTTATTTAACCAAATCTAAACAAGGTACAGAAATGAAACTCAATCTGTTGAATGAAGAACTCAATTATGTGTAGGATGCGGGACAAGTGATATCTCATACGATGGTCATTAGGAATAAAACTCTTGCCATGATTTACCCTAAGAAAGTGTTATCTGTGCTTATGTTGCATTCCACAAAAACTCTGACCACTTTTCAATGGGATTTTCAGAGGGAGTTTTTATTTATAAACACACAGTTGCCTTATTATTGAATCAGCCCAGGCAGGCCCATTTCCTGGCTGCCTCATTCTCCAGCTGTAACCCTTCTTGATTTATTCTTTTGGGGCTGTGTCGAGGATTAAGTTACCACCAGAATTGGAAAATTGAAAGGAGACAGTATGATGTGCTGTTGGGAATTTTCATCTTGAATTTCTAGAAAGTGTGGCAATCACTTTGATGTGTGAGAGCCACAAATGGAGCACACATTGAACTCCACTGGTATACTAAAACACTTCTGTAGTTCTCCTTCCCGTGGTGTAAGTTAATGTTTTAGTTTTTGTTAAATAAATATTTTAATCCACTCAGATTTGTGTTCACCCTGATTTACTTATTATTTATGATAATTCTGAGTTTCTAATGTCAGACTTGTCTTGGTAATGGCAGTTGTGTTTGTGTTGCCTAATTAGGAAACACAAGAAGCTTCGGATTTCAAACAACAAATTTGTTGTTGTTATAAAGAATATTGGTTCATGTTTTTGTAAGTTTATTAATTTAGCACTTAACTGATTATTGGTAAAGTAATCTGTTATACTCATAGCAAACTTACAGTTTTTAATAAACATTTATCCTAATATATTGGGAATGTTCAGTTCTTTATTTTATTGTTTTCTGTGTTATTTTATATCCTCCTCAGAGATTTTTCGTTGAAAGGGTACAATTTTCATTGTATTCATGGCTCATGTCCTGACCTGTTGTATGCGTTGATTTTGAAACAAAATTGTCAAACTTGTCTAGCTACTCTTAGTTTAAAATATTTCACTTCCTCCCATGTCTTCCACATCTAAGCTTATTTGGTTCTTCCATAGTTCTCTTATTTTTCTCCCCTAGTCTTCTTTCTTTTGTTTTAATTCCATTACCATTTTGGACAAGTCTTTCCCTTTTTTATGCAACTAAACCATTTTTAGTGGTTTTTTTTACTTTCTGTTTACTTGTATTGCAATTCTGTCCTTGTTTTTCTAGTTAATGAACTCTGGGGAGTGGAGTCCTTGTGTAGTGAATAGTCATTAATTGTCATGTTCAGAGGAGCTGTTCTTTGATCTCTGCTGAGCCATGTAAAGCCAGCCCACATAGCTACACCATATTTCTTAACATTCATTTTAATACTGTCCTCCCTTCTATTTCTGATCTCTCCCTTTGGGTGTTACTTTGCCCAGTCCATATTAAAATATTATTGTTGATTTGATCTCTGTGATGATGATTGGTGATAACTTAATGAAGCTGCTCCTCATTCAATTTTCTCCAGCTTCCTGTTACTTCCTGACACCCTCAGTCCATGTTTTTCTCTTTAGGGTGAGAGGCCAAGATTCATACCCATACAAAGAAAGAGGTGAAATTATAGTCAGCATTTTAGCTATAAACCTTGAGGGGAAAAAACACTTGGGTGTACATATAAGGTGTAAATAGGAAGATGATAATACAGTTGATCTTAAAGGACTAGGATGTGATAAAGTGGATGTCATTCATCTGAGGACAGGGGTCATTGGGCAGGCTTTTGTGAACACTTTTCTACAAAAGGCGTGGAATGTATTTACCTCCCAATCAGCTATAATAAGTGAATAACTTCTCAAGGAGGAGTCTGCTGCATAGAGTTTTGTGGATGATTATATTCGCATTCAGTAAGAATGGTATTTTATTTTGCAGGAGATTTGAACTCTGTGGAGACTTACCTTGAGTCTGGAACTACTGAACCAGTGCAGGTGAAGTATAAACATATACTTCAAGTGTTGAATTTGCTTGTCTTTTGTATATTGATTAAATGTATTTGTGTATCATTGTAATTGTAATGGTGTTTTCAGGGTGCATTTGTACACTATGGGACCTGGGAGTCGATGGTATATGGTTTAGCCCATTACAATGAACTGCGACCTCTCCGTCAGAAGCTGTTCCCGGATCGCTTGCCTCAGTTTACTCCGAAGTTGAAAAGAAGGTGAGGGTAATTATTTTTGGGTTTCTTTTAAGTGCATTGTTCTTTCAATTCAGATCTTGTTAAATAGAAAATAGTTGGTTTCTGTTATGACATTTCCTGTCCTCTGCCAATCCTAGGTAAGGGTAGAATAAATACATGTCTGAAACAGGGAAACCCCTAGTGATAAAATAATTATGAATGGGATGGTTTGCAGAGGGAACATAGAGTTTAACATGGGCCCTGCATCCTGGTTTAGACCTTTTTCAGAGTTTTTTCTATACCAGAAGTGAAGGCTTTAGCCTATGATAAAAGTAATCTGCAGACAGATATGACTATTATAAGATCAAAATTGTCTGAATGAGAGCCCATTGTTTTACTCCAAGGCCACTAATCCTGCTGTTGGAGATATGCTTACCCTCTGATCATATGTACGTTAGAAAGGGTAAGTCACGGGGTGAATTTTGTTAATCTTCGTAAGCTGTAGAGGGAAATTTTTTTGTGTCCTAGGTGTTGAAAATTAAAGTAAGAGATTTTAGCTTCTCATGTCAGTGAGGTTGTCCATGGTGCTCTTCTGGGTTACGAAGTGCCTTTCTCATCTTCCCTCCTCCCATATTTCTTTTATTTGTCCACCCTATCATAATTCTTCTCTCAATTTTCTGCTTTCCTTTTCACTTATATACCTTCACCTTCTTGCCACCAAAACATAACATTGCAGAAGAAGAATGAAGAAACAAGTAGTGATCCCTGTTAAATTATTTTAACATTTTCCTTGAGGTCTTCTCCCATGTGAAAAGAGTGCAAACAGACATGAAAGCATAAAACTTTTGTTAATGCAGGTGTAATTAATACTGTTTTGCTCTGCAGTTGATTGATCTTAATTTTTGTCTTCAACTTGACTAAAATTTTGTTTCTTTGTATGTTTTAATTCGTGTTTCATGGAAATGAAGTGTGCTGTGGTTAAATTATGAAATACTTTAAACATATATTACCTGATGTATAGTGTGTGATAAAATTTCAGATTGTTGTTCAAGAACAAGGAATTTGATGGTTGGTGTGTGCCATTCCCTGGCTCTGACCGATCTGTGATGTTACGGTCACAGAGATACTTCTTTGAACATGAAAAGTTGCGACCTGTTCAAGTCCAGACCTACTTACTCATCAAATCAGTATTTAGTGTGTTTGCTCTTGGCATTCTTGGACTCATCTTTGTTGTGCTTTCCAAGTTCCAGTGTGGAAGAAACTTGTTGCTTAAGGTAATAATCTCTGTGCTTGATTAATATTGATTTGTGATCAAACATGACTGCTTTATTTATAGATTTGGAAATTTTATTTTGTTTATGGCACAAAGATGGCTGTCTTTGGAATTGTTGCACTGTGTAGTCTAGTAGAATTTTATGAACGTTTTAGAGGTCCTTGCTGCCACTGTCATCAGGGCATTGATGGAGGCAGCAAGGACCTCTGAAACATCAGTAAACTTCTACCAGACTACATGGCACAACAATGTAGAAGATTCGCCACTGTGAAAACCTCAAATCCAACTCAGTTTATGGTACTATTTTCAAATGTGAAGAATAAACAGTTAATGATTGAAGATCAGACTGCCACACACAAATTAATTCAGCCGGACGACTGATGGAAGATTCTGCTGAACAAATATTTGAAACATGTGACTGTTGTTACTGTTTGTGCATACAAAAAGAAATCTCTGTTCTGTTTGTTGTAAGTGTTCAGCAGAATGAGTTTTGTGTTACACTCAACAGTGTCGAATACCACACTTTTTCAAATCCTAATTTTATTGTTCAGATAAAATTTCATGTTCTTTTTAAAAACTGGATGCTCCTTTTAGATACCCTCTGTTTAACCCTTTGAAGTCAGCATGTCTATATAAACACTCAATCTCTACCTTATAGAAACGTAACACTTCTCCATTATGAAGATTATTTGGTGATTGCTGCTTAAGGAAATAATTGCTGTTCACTCTGCGATCATGTGGAAGCCATTATTACACTCTGAGGGTAAAATGTAGAATTATGTTTGGTTAAAGAAGGTGGTACGTATGTTATCACTGGGCTTTAAGGGGTTGTGAACCTTGCTTTCATGAAGGTGATTATAGTTACATTGACCAAGTCAAGCCACTATCAGAATGCCTGAACTTTAGGATTTGTAGTTTCATATTTTATGGTTGTGTGGACTTCAAGGACAGTCATTAAGATAATTTTGATGAACATATTTCTAGTATCCACAACTGTTCAGTGGTGGAGCAATATCTCATGAGGGTCCCTCTGTAGAGAACATGAAGAAGTCATATATCAATCTGATGCTGTTTGGTGAAGGTTGGGCAGAGAAATTAGCAGAACCAACAGACCAACATGATTTACCTCCTAACAAGCATGTTACTGTCAAGGTAGGTACTTCTCTTTATGTATTTGATATTTCAGTGGCCGGATTTAAGACAGCTCTCGTACACAGGATACTGCTGAGGATTTTGACCTTGTTCACTTCACCTTTCAA